CTGAATGATGACGCCCCGAGAGTTTCGATACGTTTGACTGAAAACGCATTCGTCCTGTTGCTTCAGTCAGCAATGGAATCATCAATAACTGCCAGGTCCATTGAAAGCCAGTTTGACGGATGAGGTGGTGCTTTGGGTCATGAACTGTTCCTTTATTTCCCTCCGTGCTTTTCTCTTTTCATTATTTTCACTGAGACTGATTTTGTTGTCATCAGTCTAAAGAACTTGGACCGAGTGCTCTATCGGTTTCTTTTTGCAAGTTTTTGTGAACAGCTGCCCGGCCTTTTTGAGGATTTACAGTTTATTTATTTCCATGTAGAACTACTGAAATTACAGCTGAGACTTCTTGTTGTGCTGCCCCTCAGAAGTGCTCTGCGACGATGAGAGAACCAGGCAGAAAGAAGTGCCTCAATCAGGCCTTTCAGGGGCTCGACAATGGCACACTCCTTCTTGGATTTTGCCAAACTGCATCTAAAGGACTCTGAGAATCCAAGAAAAAAGATTCTCAGGTCTGATAAACTAAATTTGACCTCTTCGGGCCAAACTCCACTGGGACACCAGGCACTGTCCATCAGCTGTTAATAACATCCCTACTGTGAAACATGGTGGTGGCAGCATCATGCTATAGAAGTGCTTCTCACCAGTATGAACAGGGAGGCTCGTTAGAATTGATGGAGGGATGAAAACAACCAAATAGTCATTAAAGAAACCTGCCCCAGCAAACAGCAATCTGAGATGATAAACCAAAGCATTCAGCCAACACAACTCTGGAGTGACTTCTGTGCAAACCTCTGGCTGTCCTTTGGTGGCACAGCCATAGCCTCGACTTCAACCCCACCATCTATGGAGAAACCTTCATAAGACATATAATAGGCTTTTCTATCCGGTCTGAAAGCAGCTTGACAGGATCTGCCTAGAGAAGAATAGGATAAACTGTCCAAATCCAGGTGTGCTAAAAGCTTGTAGGAACTTGCCCAAGCTGTGAATGCTGCCAAAGATGTTTCTACACAGTACTGAGTTAGGGGTCTCAATGCTTTTGTAAATGGCTGTTTGATCTTTAATTTCTCAAAATGTGCTTTCACTTTGTCACAATGGGTTCTTACATGTAGATTAAAAGAGAAAAATGACATTGTCTTTTTTACAACATAGCAAAATTTGCAAAAAGTAAATAGACTTTCTGAGACAACTGTATGTTTACTCAGGAATAGGATACTTTAAAGCAGATGATACACCCAAAGTAAAACTTTCTAAGCTGATGGTAACAGATGTGGTACCATGTGTAGTAGCCATTTTACTCTTTGACAATAGTGAGACATGGTGTAGCTGACACAGTACACTGCGGATACACTTCACTGATATATGTTTTCATTTTACAAAAAGAAGAAGAAGAAATTTCCACTCTGTCACCCACATGAATGAAGTGCACAAGTGAGAATTCAATTTAGGCACAGACCACTAACGTGTAAACAACATGACTGTGACATAACCATTAAATCCCACAGCATGCGCATGGCGTGGTGTCATATTCCAAGCAACAGTAAAAAAGCTCCACCATGCCGTTACGCATGCAGGTTAGACGACAACCACAAACCAGACCTGAGTGACCTGACAGCCATGAAGCATAGTTTTAATATTTTAATCGTTCAGCGTTGTCTGTATGGCACGTGATCTGATGGTTTTTTTTACTTCTTATGATGGAATTACACAAAAAAAAATGAGTGGTGTAACATTTTTGAAAACAAAACACACACAAATTAGAATAAAACAGTGAGTCATGTTTTTTTGTGGTGTGTTTTTTTTTAAAATCCAGTCTGCATGATGCACGGCTGTAACAAATGTCAAAGTTCCTCCTCGAGTTCAAGAAATCCTGACACAGAGGTCAGCGACCCCGCAAATAATGTCGAAGGAACACCCTGAGTGAATGAATGAAACAGTGGAAATGCTTGAGCTGCCTGCTGCTGTCAGCCAGAAGGGCCAGAGATAGAAAAAGACAGGAGGGGGATATCCTTATCTGCCAATGCCATGAAATTCAAGACGGCGCCCCATGATGCATGCGCACTAACCCTCACCACAGACACACACACACACGACGCACAAACATGTACACAAAAATGCACAAGCAATCGGAAAGCAGAACATACACATCACCTTAATATAGATGGGACGTTTCTACTCAAACACATACACGCGGCATAGCAAGCATACGCACGGTTATTCTTGGGAGCTTGCGTTCACCTCAGCTGTGCACGCACACTTGGCCTCACAAGCTCCGGCTGGAGACAAAGGTAAGCACGAAATTTAAATCTCAGCCTTTTTATTGGGGAAATGTATCTGCACTTTATTTAGTATAGGCCTATTTCAGCTGTCGGTGGCCTGAGAAGGAAAGCAGCAGTTTCAAGACACAAGTTAATGAGTGCATGTTGACCGAGTGTGTCTTTCTTATCAGCAATGTCTGCTGTGGAGTTAAGAAGCAGGGACACTGCAGCAGCTGTGGCTATGTAGTTTAGCCTGCTATAGATATTAATGCTTTAGATCTGTATGTTACAGGTGATTTCACTCATGTCTGCTCCCAGTAAAACCAACATTTTCATATTTGGATCCAGGACAAATAATGAAATATTTAATTTTTATTTAGATTTTTCAGATATTATGAGTGTATTTACACAGGAAGACTCGAACCCCGCTGCTCCACGAGTTTATATATTTAGAAAATGCATTTATTTTTAGTGAATAAATTGGAGTTAAAAACAAGTTCAGCAGCTGCTCGCTCTCTGCAGCGCGGGGGGGCGGGGCTTACGCGGAGACACTATTTTTTTCATCCAATCAGAGGACGCCGAGTTGTGTCTCCGTGGTTACCGGAGCGGCCGTATTATGGGATGTACACATGGCAGCTTCCAGTGAAGGAATTCGTGTCAACAGAAGATTTTTACGCTCGTACATGTCGTTATTGTGGCAGCTACAGATGAATTGGGACATTGTGGAGGAGTACCAGGACTCCGGGGCGACCATGTGTGTATATGAGTGTATTTAATGTTTGATTTTTAAACCTCCACAGCTCGACGTTGGTCTTTTGTTTCTTGACTGTGTGAAGAAACGAGCGAATGAATCACATCCACAGATGCGCGACAGCTGAGTGGGCTCGTTGCAAATTTATAGCATGCTAAGCTAACTATGCTAATGTAAGGGCTGGTTTATTTATGTATTTTTATGAATGCTGAGTGAAGCTAGTCGTGTATTAGTTAAGAGTCCATATGAAGTCCTGAGAGTGATTTTTGATCCTACATACATCCTGGCAGGTGGACTCATTACCATGGACTGTATCTCTGCTATAAAGTCTGTGACACTTCTAGAAAATTCTCATAAGGATGGTACACAAAAAACCAAAAGCCTCAACTGAATCTTAAGTTAAGAAATCACATCCTGATGCACTTCCGTTTCTTATTTCACAGGTCATGGTCAAGTACAGCCACTTAGGGTTAAAAAAAATCAAAGTATTTTCATTGTAAAGTGTGACTGAGCTCATCTGTCTGGGGCAAAGAAGAAAAGTATTCAGGGTCATGTATAGCTAATTCTTGACTCCATGTAATTATTGAAGCTGTGTAAATGTGCTCCTCTCTCTCTATCTTTGGAGATGTTTTTCATCCTGCTGCAGTAACAGTGTCAGAAATATATATATATAAAATATTGCACCTTAAGTACTTAGCAGCAGTGTCTGAAATATTGCACAGATAATAAAATGGTCCGGGGAAGTGGAGGTGTTCTTAAAACAGTCTGAGGTTATTTGGCATTTAGCAGGAACCTGCTGCCAGACGCCATTTACATTTTAGTTTGTAATAGATGAGACATTGTTGAGTACAGTGAAGAAAGATGCAAAACATATTTTGTGTGTGCACCTCCATCTACTAAAGACAAGTGTGTCTTTAGCGCTCTCTGTCATGTTTATGGTTGGTACACAACGCTGCTTCAGTCGTCTCATGGTGCTTTCAATTCCACTCAGACACTGCAGTTGCATACACTGAAGTGAATAAACTTCACTTATCAGATCTGTTTTGGCCACAAGGGTGGCCAGTGAGATTTCTGTTGTGGCCATGGTTCCCTCAGCCTCCTCTAGGTGGTGCTGCTGCACAGAATTTGTCTTAATCACATCGTCATTGAAAAAAAAATAACGATTAAATGCCGGCAAATACAGTCACAGATGCATTGCAAGGTGATTAACACCTTTCCATGTTGTGAAACAAAGTCATTAGTGATCAAGTGTAAATGCTGCTCACCTGAACTATGTTATACAAGTAAGAAGACGTCTTTTGATTTGAACCTCGAGCTAAATCGTGGCTCTTTTGATATCTTTATGTAGCCACAGCACGGCTTTTTAAAAAATTAACAACATGGCAAGGCACCTTGGCTCTTTGCATGACATTATGTGAAAACTGGTTCAAAGAAATTGGAAAATGTTGGAGGAAAAATATGTTAAAATGCAAAATTGTAACAGCTCATAATTCAGGCATTTTGTGTCCAAAAAGCCGCAGAATATATGAACCCCTCGTCCGTTGATAAAGCAATTCAAAACTTTCCTGAACTTTCTGTCTATTCCAGCTTTTATAGGTTCTTGGGAAACATTTAATCAGTTGTCTGTTGCTTATTTTCACCAGGAAACATTGGTGCCAGCGTTCCTGAAGACACAAGTAGCTAAACTCACTGAGCAGCAGCTTCACTGTATGAATTTTGCAAGAGTAGCCAGAGCATTTTAAATGGAAGGCTAATGCTAGCCTTGGAAGCTGCAGCTTGGCAGCAAGGTGAAAAGTAGGTCTCATTTTATTACATCAGCTCACTGGAAGTGAAGCTCATCGGAGGTTAAAGTAAAAACGTAAAAGTTTTTGTGTGTTTTTTTATAATCGGTCTTAAATATTTAAGTGATTCTACATTTTATTTATCTTCAGTTTTATTTTTGATTCGTCTCATAACGTTTCTGTGTTTTCTGTCTCTTTCCAGATTCCACATTAAGCAAAGTGCACTAAATCATCATCTGACCAACCATTCTGTGTCCTCTGAGTTAAGTCAACGCTGCCCCGCTTGACACAGCCACAGCCATGCCTGGTGAGGACAAACCACCGCAACAGAGCCGCCAGAGGAAAAAGAACAAAAAGTCCCGCTCCAAGGGGAAGAGCGCCGGTGGGAGTCCCAGCGCCCACCTGGGAGGCACCTTAGATGGACAGGATGACCTCATCTTACCCCCAGTGCCTCAGCCTCCTCCGAAAAAGCATGTGGAGGAGAGACCCAAAGTGCCTGTCGCCAAGTTGGAGGAGGAGTCGTCCGTTGCTATCTGTCTTCAGGTGGTTTTCCCGTACCTGCTCGCTGGGATGGGCATGGTGATGGCCGGCATGGTGCTGGACAACGTACAGGTGAGTGCACGGTCCTGGGGCTGCTTTTGAGGCATAATTTAAAGGTCATTAACACAACGAAAGAAAACACACCTCAACAGAACATCAACTTTGAAATGTGTATGTTGATGTTTCCTGTTACATCTTCAAAATATGTAAAGCAAAGTTGTCACAGGTGTCTAACCATCCATCCATCCATCCATCCATCCATCCATCCATCCATCCATTATCTATACACCGCTTAATCCTCATTAGGGTCGTGGGGGGCTGGAGTCTGAAGGCAGGTTCACCTGGACAGGTCACCAGTCTATCACAGGGCTACACTTAGAAACCAAACACACTTACATTCGCGTCTACTGACAATTTAGAATCACCAATTAACCTCAACATGTTTTTGGACTGTGTGAGGAAGCCGGAGAACCCGGAGAGAACCCACGATGCACGGGGAGAACATGCAAACTCCACACAGCAAGATTGCGGGTGTCCTCACCAGGACGTGAACCTGCGACCTTCTTGCTGTGAGGCAACATAGCTAACCACTGAGCCACCTTGCAGCCAAGTCTCTTACCAGATTCTGTGAAAAAAAAAAAAAACAAGCCTAAAAACTCGTTGATCTTGAGCATAACTGAGAAACATGACTGATTTCGCTCACAACTGTCACATGAGAAAAATTCTGCGACTATTCTGTTGAACTGCAGGCTTTGCTCACACAGAGCAGATGGGAGACAAGTATGGAAACTAGTCAAATATTCATACTACATTACAGAAAAAGCACAAAACACAGCTAATAATGAGCCTTTAACATGTGAATATAACCTGCGCATGCAAAAGAAGAGCCACAGCAGCACTGGCTAAAGCTGGAGTGATTCTGAATGTGCTGGAAAAAAAACAGCAAGGACGCTAAACATTTGGTAAATAAGCATATTGATATGTATATGATTTTCCCTTTATGTTGCCCTCTTTACATCACTGTGTAGTGGATACCTGTGTGTGTGCTCGTTGCATCTTTATCCTGTGCCAGACGTTCCTGGCATTTGGGCTGCAGCCAGCTGGACAGAGGGAAATCAGACACACTGCTGTCTGCTTTATGATGAGCCGGTGTCGCTTTCTTCCCCCCTTAGTCCTCCGCTGATAAACACACGTCTGTCCTAATGTGGCTTTTTCCCTTCATTCCATCTGTTGCTCATCAGTATTTCCTCCACTCTGTGGTATCGGTTACCCTCCTGCGTAGATGATTAGTCATGAGTTTGGCAGGGAGCTGTGTCCCAAAGCACAGGGGACGTACAAGGACACGCAGAGTAGCCTATCAGAGTCGAAGGCAGATAAAGACAAGAACACGACGCTATCAGAAATTAGGGTTGTTACTGTAGCCTGTGGCGGTGGCTGATCTTGTCTGAACGACCACATCCTGTTGTCGTACCGGCAGCTTTCATCCTACATGTTAAATCCTGCATCCCACTCGTGCCAACTGTTTTTGCAGTTTTTTGGTCATCGCCTTCCAACTTGCGGCTCACGCAGTTTTGACAAACTCGAACTGGATTACGTAACTGTGATGCAAATGCATCTCTTACGCCTTCTGAGCATTATCTGTTGGATTGAAAAGGACGCGGGGGACTTAAATCAATCCTGAGCTGTAGATTTTCTATATTCAAAGTATTGCACACATCATGGACATATTCCGTTGGGGATGATGTTGGGTAAATGAGGCCTAAGGCTTTCTGTAGTTGGACAACCTCACAGATGGGCAGGAATGACATTATGATTGGTGGACAACCCGCTGCACAACTTGAGCCCCGGACGTAGATGTTTAGATGAAAGAAAAAGACGAAGACGTTGTGTCTGTGGCCCAAAGTTGATGAAACCATACGCCTTGTCAACCGTCCTTCAACTTTCACACTTGATTGCCTTCTTAAGTTGTTGTTTTGGTGACTCAAAAAACGTGCACATAGTATGAGAGGTAATAATTGAAAGCATGAAGTATTGTTAGTGTAAATAAAATCTACAAAGTCATAGTGACTTGTATTAAAAGTTAGAGGAACTGATTCGACCGCATTCAGCTCCTGGTGCACTTCTAAAGCTAAAACTGCACTTCTGAATTTAAAAGGTTAATTAAAGTTTTTTAGAAATGCTAATTCTGCCAACACAGAGGATTCAGCCAGCTTGTGAGCTTGAAAAATCCCTCTCAGAGCGTTCTTACGTGGCAAAGTGAACTCGTGAAATTTCATTCCTAACGGAGCAACGGTGTCTTTAATGACAACCGATTAAATGTCAGTATATTTTGGCCTGTGCTGCTTTCATTTTGGCAATTCGCATTTCAGCTTTCCTTTATGACAATGCACTATTAAGTTGCTGCTGTACCCTTTAAAAGTCGCCTGAAGCAGAAGGTAAATGTCAGTTCAGCTGTTAATTGCTGCGTGAGTAAAGGTAGAAAGCTAAAATCAACTAAGATGTGGACATAAATTACAAGCAGAGAGAGAAAAAGGGATGAAGAGAGAAGTGATTAATAGATTATTGCGACCTGAAAAGTACTTGAGAACAGTTCTGCGTCGTACAGCACTGCATGTGTTTGCTCGTTCTCGGTGTTACGGGAGGAGATACATTACAGGAATCGCAGCGCAAATATAGCATGTAAGCCGGAGGTAGAGAAAGGAAGGAATGGATGGAGAGAAAGAATGAGTCACGATACAGAGAGCGAGAACAGAAAAAGATGGACGAGAGAGAGGGAGAAACGCAGCGAGACCGTCCGACGTAGAAAGCGGGATGTCACATGGCAAGGAGGAGGGAGGATGTGTGGCGGACACGCAGCAAGAAAAAGCGAGAGGGAGAGTGCGAGGCAGTAAGCCGGTCGTTTCCCTCATGAGTTTGCACAGCGCAGACAAGCCTGCCTCTTTCTCTGCTACGTCACAGCAGAGCCGAGTGGAGGGAGCAGGACTACGCTGATGCTGACAGGAGGAGAGGAACACTTGAGCCTGCCAGGAGCCGGCTGCTGCATCTTGTCAGTGGATCTCTTATTGACATCACGGAGCTCTTTTCGTTTTCTCTTTTTTTAACCCTCATTGTGAGCCTGCCAAAACAGAGAACGGCCCGGACTGACAAAAAACATAAGGGTTTCCGGCTGTTCCTGACTCTCGAGACCTTTTCGGACTATTCCTCATCGCTGTGCTCCCGTCAGTCACTGAGCTGTGACAGCACGAACTGCCGTCATTTGCAGGATACAGCTGAGCCTTTACTTTGGAGGTCAAGTGGATTTCAGACTGGATCAAATGGATTACATTAAACAAACACTAAACTCAACTAAAAGGACTTTGAACTAAATCACATTGATTCTGGAGGTCTCCAGGGCAACTGGACTTAATCAGGACTCCCGGAAGTCTGAACTCTTTACTGGTCCAAGTTCGTTCTCTTTAACCTGTATGTGGATGTTGGTGTTATCTTACTAACCTTTGTCAAAAAGCTTCATGTAAACTGACGTTTTCAATCTTTTCTTAAAACTGAGACTTTGACTGCAGATGCCGAGCATCAGTTGTTTGGAGAACATCGTGACCTATGAATCAGAAGCGGTGTTAATGATTGTGCTCCCCAGTGGTGCTGACAAATATCTCATCGTTGCTGACTCACCACTGGGCCAAAGATGCCTCGCTCCATTGACCTCAAGTTAGAGTTAAAGCCTTCAACTTTGATTTTTCCTTGGAGAAGAATGCATTTTCTTTAAATGCATGGAAAAGTCACAAGTGTCTTACTTGCTTGACTAGATTTCCACTTCTGAAGACAAAGCTGATTCCTTCAGTCTTCGCTTTTCTTCGATAATAATTATAAAAAGCTGATTGTTTTACTTGTGTATCGCCAAGAATGATTCAAGAAATGGCTGTGCAACCTCCTGAGAGCGGAACAACCACGTCTTCATAAATCCCGTCTCTCTGTTCCTGAAGAGTGGCCTCAGTGACTGCTTGAAACATTTGCCCTTTGCCTGTTTAAATCAAGGACAACAACATTGATTTGTTTCCCTTTTTTTTGTGCGCTCATCCTGGTTACTTCTGGTGAAACGCACGCCAAGTTTATTTGGACATATCAGAAGCTGATTTTTTGTGTTTACGCTTGGATTGAATCCACGCTCACCATGGGATAACTATACGTTGAACTGAGCGCTTTAAGCAACCCCTTGGTCAACATGGTGGTGACTCGTCTGGAGCTGGAGCTGCGCTACCAGGGCAAGAAGTTACGTGGCGTGACGTGGAAGCTGACTCGATCGGAGCATGGTTTCCTACCAGAGAGCTCTTGGCTCATTGCTGCACAGGTTATCGTGCCGTACCTGGTGTCGGGACTCGGAATGGTCTCTGCTGGAATCGTTATGGACCTTATACAAGTATGAGTTTATTTTCGAGAGTTTGATTGTTAGATACTCAGAATTGGGTACCATCTAAAATGTATGGATACTAGTGTCTATGTTATAGCTGGAACTCAACACTCATACCAAAACAATACTCTTTTTTTATATAACTTTAGCAGCTACAAATTATCCGAATCTCTATCAACTGACAAAAACATCAATACTGCTGATAGGACAAAACTCCAGATAACATTTAATGCTAGTTTTTTACTTGCAATGTGAGTGTTTTTACAATTCTACCCACAACTTCTGTGCCTTGCAACTACATAATGGTGAAGATATGGAGACAATTTCTTGGTAAATTGGCAGTTGTCTATGGTATGTTTAGAGTGAGGAAACTACAACACTTTAGTGAAATGTTGTGGCTAATACAGGGTCAAACCATAGTTGGACCAACTTCAGTCTCCTGCATGAAAGACTCACCTGTTGACCACGTTTGCCCCTTACAGGGTTGGTGGTGTTGGACATAACATCCGATGTAAATCCTACTGAGCTGAAACATGAACTGCGGGAAGAAACTGCATAAAATTAGCAAAATTTCGACTTGAATTTGAAAGTGTCACATTCTGCGCTGGTGCTTCATCCCAGACAGCTTTTCATACTCAGAGAATCAGAATGTAAGAATCATTGAGATTCTGTACACAGCCCAATGAAAGGATGGATGGGTGAGTGGTGGAATGGACTGACGACACAAAAGCCACTTGGCTGGACTGTAGACTGAGAGGCAGAGAGCGACTTTACCTGCTGCTGGTATGAGAATGAGCTCAGCTGACATCTGTTTCAGAAAAAAGGGTCAGAAAGACGTTGGCCTTTTATTCAATATTGGTCATTTGCTAGTCTGACTCGTTTACCTTTCTCATCCCTTCGGCTGCGCTCTGACCACGGTCGAACAGATTTAATTTGTTCAGACTAGAGAAAAATGTTTGATGAGTAAATTTGTTGGTTCGCTAGTATTTGCAGAGAGGATGGGAAGACGGAGTTCCTTAGAGACTGACAGATAACCAGGTTGATGAATGGACGTTTCGATGGACTGATCGATGTATGGAAATGTTATTAGCTGCTTCCCCCGTTGACAGTGCTGTTTTCTGATTAGCAGATGGAGCCTTCTGTAACATCCACTTTTCTGAGATTTCTAAATCAGATTTAGATGCAGTAGAGAGAGGAGAACCTTGGGATGAATGTGGACAGGTAATTCAATAAGTGATTTAGAGATGAAAGAGAAAGAAAGAAAGGAAGGCAGAGAGAGCAAAGTGTATAAAGATGTTAATGCCTTGGTATAATATAGAAGAAAAGAAATAGATTATTAAAAAATTATCTCCAGTGGTATGAGCATAAAATCTCAAATATGCAAAAAGTTCTAAATAGGTAATTATAACGTCTGTACAGAAGTAGAAGCGGCGGCAAGACAATGAGAGCAGGAATATCCTAAATATTGTCTTTTCTCCTGAGAAGTCTTGGCCGTTTTTTGGTGGTGTTGGCTTGAGACCCATCACGCTGACACTCAGGCGGCAGCAGGGTTGTACAGCAGAAGTGGGCCACGTCCCGAGATAGCCTTCCTGTATGACAGCCGTCAGCCAGACCTGCCGGACCAGAACTGAGAGGGATGCGTATAAATAGACGCACGCATATATGAACAAGCCGAACATACACCTCTACTGGTCACTGCACTGGCTTCACTCGTGGTCCCCTTAACTGTTTACTACACATTGGTGGGTGGAGCTAAAGTAGAAGTTTATAACAGGTAACTGGTGAAAAAGGAGCCATTGTGTTTGTCTGTTTTTCAACTTTCCTATCCTCTGTTTATCTGTCAAACTTAACAGGTGAACTGCTGGGGACCCAAGGAAGTGCAGGGTTGCGTTTTAAGTCATTTCGAATAGCGGGTAGAGCCTAAGACCAACTCGGTTCACGCCACGTCTGCAAGTATGCAAAGGTCCAGGAGGATCTGCTTGATGTAAATTTCATCAAAATGTGCGTCCATGCAAACAGTCCATGTGGCAAAGCAGCAGTGTACACGTAGATATGATCTACTTGACATGTATAGAATTGAGTCTTCCAAGCAGATTCTCGTGGACTAGAAAAGCAGTATAAAAGCTATTCTCAGCTGTTTGTGTCGGTATAATGAAGGCATAAGTCGCCCCTACTGCTCAGGTAAAACAAACTGTGGTACTGTGATAGTGTCACGATCTGATAACAGCATCAAAAGCAAAGAGCTCCAACGTTATCACCGATCAAAGAGTTTAAATACTGATCGTGACATCTACCTGACGCTGACATGCCTGTGACAGAAATCTGTGGCCTGTGGTTGTCTGTGGACTAAAGGACCACAAACATGGTCGCAGAGCGACTTCAAACTCGACACGGCGCTATCTTACATCCCCGGCAATACACCGGCTAAGTTTGAAACCGATCAGACGAGAAGGTTGTCAAGCAAAGCAGTGAACAGACAGACACACAGACAGAAATTCCTTCATGCATTAGTGAGATTAAAAGCCCTAATCCACATTAATGGAGTAATCCCCACTCTCATGTTCCGGGGCTGGAATTTTAATAGTTTCTATTATTAGCAATATCTACTATTACCAATGTCATAACGCAGCACAGAAGTTCCAGTTTTACTTAAACCCTGTCTGTGCCTGCGTACAAAACAAGATATTCAATAATGTATTTTCTGTGTATTCTTTAACATAAACTCATCAAGAAACACATACCTAGTTTGCTGTACACCATTTATTTATACTTCACTGTATGTGCAGCAGAAATTATTCTCTTGAAGTTCATAAAAGGGAACATTTGCTGAAAAAAACACACAACAGTTTCTACATTGCACCGCACAGGCTTTCTGGCCAAATGAGCAAACGTTTTTGTGTGCCAACCATGAATGATGCATCAAGTCTGGTTCCTGTACATGCTCTTATCTTTCATTTCTCCTTCCTGTCATTGCCATATCGCACAACTTCCTACTTTTTCTTTCCTTTTTCCTCCTTTTTTTCCCCCTCTCGTTTCCTGTTTGCTCCTCCTCTCCTCTGTAAAAACCCTCCACGCCTGTCACTGCTTCACATCACTTTGCTCTCGTCAGCTGCGTTGTTCTTTCATATGTGCATCTATTTAAAGATCTAAACTGTCTCGGACCTGCCAGTGGAAGCTGTAGTTGGAAAACACACAAGACCGACTCTGTGAACCGTGTGTGTGTCTTCTAAACCCGCTGAACCTGTGCGGTATGGCGTGGCATCAGACGATGCTCAGAGATGTGGAAACAGGGAAAGTAGGCTACTGGGTTAGTCTAGAATATGTGATGGTCTTATTTAACTGCATCAGTGAGGGACCAGGTTCATGGGGTACATCTGTGGAGGTGAAGACGACGTGTTTCTGTGCAAGAATAGAAAGATGTCAGTCTTAATTAGGGGGAAGTGCTCTTTAAAATTTTTGTTCACTGCTCTCTGACTGACTGTTTAATATTTAATTTGTGTGTTGCAGCACTGGGAGGTGTTTAAGGTGATCACAGAGGTTTTTATCCTGGTTCCTGCTCTGGTTGGACTCAAAGGAAACCTTGAGATGACCCTGGCTGCTCGTCTCTCCACTGCTGTAAGTGGACTAAGAGTTGCAATTATTTTTTTTGTATGAGTCAGATAAAACCTTTGGATCTTTGCTCCTTCTGCTGTATCACATTTGTCACAGCTACTTCTTATAAGATAATACATTTAAGATAAGATCAGCTGTATTCATCCTGGAGGAAACTGTTTTGCCAGAGTACAATAAACAAACAAAATGCACCACTCTACATCCTCTGTTGTGACTCTAATATACATGTATGTTTATTTTTTTGGCCGTGCATAGTTCCACCAGATTCAGTTGCACAAAATCAGTCCTCTTTAACTGTAGGATGATGAATGATGGTGGCTAATGCAACGTTTTCAATTATTCTGAATGACACTAAGATCTTGTTTTCGTGTTTGGCTTTACAGTTGGCAAAAATGGTTTTGCAGTCTTCTGCAACCTGCCAGAGTCTCACTTTTACAGTTTTGGCCGTCCTTCTGAAAGGTCTTATGATAATGCTTTCCTGACCATCTTCATTGTTAAAATCTGCTTCAGTCGGGGCCAGAAAGACAGGAAATGCAAAAGACTTTTTTTTTTTGGTACATGTCACATCTGTGTTTGCTAATCCTTTTGATTAATGCCCATATGTTACAGTGTAGATGTTTCTTGCACATGTGTGCGTGTTATAAAACACTCAACTTGGCACCTACTGGAACTGATATAACAGCGTAGACGGGAACACATGTGTTTAGGGGATAAGAGATTTAGAGAAATAAATCATACTGCAAGTATATTGTTTTTTTTCATCTGAGCGCACATTGGCTAAGTGTGTTGGCACCTTGACTGTCCAGGACAATTTAAAAGCACCTATAGATTATTTTATTACCACGTCTCTCCTAAATGCAAATATGTTCCTGGTTTACTTTTAGGACTGTTAGCCTTGTACTCACTCTGCTGATACCCCACTATTGTTTGTAGGCTGTAATTTCAAGTGCAACCAGACTCCAGGTTGTTAGAAAATGTGTTTTCCTTTGACTAGCAGAGCTGTTAATAGATTTTTTATTTAGCCTCCTAACTCAGACCTACTGTCTCGTTTGGGATTACTTTTTGTTTTTTAAGAATTTGCTATAATATATCTTACCAGATTGTAATTAACGAACAAATATGTCATATGATTTAAACGACTGAACCTGCATCCCTGTGGTGCATCCATGTTTTTAGGCCAACACGGGACAAATGGACGACCCTGATAAACAGTGGACCATGGTGTGCAGCAATCTGGCGCTTATACAGGTAACAAACGTAATGTATGCTGTAATTTCTCATAGTAAGTGGAGGCGGGGGGGATGCGCTGATACGGAGCTGCATGAGTGCAAACGATCTTGAGAGAACTATCAGTGCAGGTTTGTATACCACAATGCTGGCTTGAAAGATAACTTCCAGTTTCAAGGAGCTCGGTAGCTGAGGAATTATCCAACATCAGTGCACAGAGAAGAAAAAAAAAACTCAAACTATGATCCTGCCAAGATCCAACAGAGCACCTTTTGAGTATTTTTTTTAAAAAAGCCTTTCCAGCAAGGAGCAGCTGAAAAAGAACTGTGTGAAGAATGGCAGAACATCTCTTCACAGATTTATGACAGGCTGGTATCCTCCATGCCCAGAAGGATCCAAATCCAAACCCGTATAGAAAAATGTAAGAAAAAAAAAAAGGAATGCAATCTCACTTGTTCTGCATGAATCTGAAGCTTTGGGACCCAAATGTAGTCCATAGAACCTGTTTAGTATTAATATAAATGCAGACGAGGACTAAATCTGCACTTCAAACATCCCTTTAGTTTATTAATCAGGTGTCAGAGGATTATCTGGTGGTAAACTTTACTTCTTGGCATCATTTTTTCAGGTAAAAAAAATGGCAGACAATATGCTTCAGTCTTCATGTCTCTCTTTGCTTTTTTGCAGGTTCAGGCCACAGTAGTGGGTTTCCTCGCAGCAGTTGCAGCCATTTGTTTAGGGGCCATTTCTAGAGGAGGCGTCGAACTGGATCAGGCAGCTGTCCTTTGTGCCAGCAGCATCACCACTGCCTTTGTAGCTGCTCTGTCCTTAGGTAAGTAGCTTTTATAGATCTGAATACAGCCAAACATGTCTGACAGTATTTTATAATCACTTCTTCGTGTTTCAGTCAACGCTTGTTGCAAACTTCCCCAGACGGTCTTGTTGGAATGGGTGTCGAATCATAAACTATGACTCCGAGGATCAATTGAACTCTTTATTTATGATGTTCGGGTACCGAGACCTTCATCAGATGAAAATCTTTTAAAGCCCTGATCAACGCTTAGCCATGTGTTTAAATCCCGTCGTTATTTGTTGTAAATGAATTTTATCTAAAGAAGGTCTGAGGACAGAAACATTGTAAATAAATAAATAATTAACATTGTACATGATTTTAGGATTTTTACTTTATTTTGGCCTCACTGTGCCGTAACACTGCATTTTTATTTCTTGAAGTTCTTGATTAAAATTTGAAGAAAGCCTCATTTTTTTTTTCTGTTTGCTGCCGGGGTTTGTATTTCCTTCTCATCACTTTTCCAGACTTTTCATGGGAAAAAAATTCAAAATATATAATTTAATACAAAGAGATGCGTTTTAATCCATAATTTATTCTCGCCATAAATGTTCCACTGTTAAGCAGGATTGATGGAGGAGGGGAGTGAACTGACCTTGTTTTTGTCGGTTCTAACATTTTGAGTCTCAGCAGGGAGATACCTCTTTCCATTCTCTCCATTTTTAGTTTCTCTGTAAATTAATGGTTCTTTTTCTTGCTTTTTTTGTGTGGCGTTCTTGTTTTTCAGCGAACCATTCCTCTGCGTAGCTGGTCGATGCATGGACATTGTCTTTATAGATGTACAAAAAACAGTACGTTCCAGCTGAAAGTGTTCGTCAGCATTATGTTGTTTCATAATCCTTTGTCACAGAGGACGCTGAATTTGCTCGTTTGTCCTTTCCATTTACCTCGGTTGAAAGTGGGAACTTCCTGTTTTTGTCCTTTCACACTATCCGTCTTCATTCTTCCCTCCCTGTAGGTCTGGTGATGATTGGAGTGATCATTGGCTCCAGGAAGGTGGGGATCAACCCTGACAACGTGGCCACGCCTATCGCTGCCAGCCTGGGGGATTTAATCACCCTGTCCCTGCTGGCTGGGGTCAGCAGCACACTCTATGAATATATAGGTAAGAGAACTCGAGAGATGGCGTTAATTTGAGCAAATTAATCTCACATGTCCCTACAATGTGTCCTTCAATTTTTCAGCCTAGAAGGATGGTTCATTTCACAGTGGCTGTCTAACTCCTGGTTCTTCCCAGTTCTCAGGGTTATTAATGACATTAAACAGTAACATAAAATAAAACAAGAAGAACTTCGTGACCCCTATAGAACCTACCCTTTTCAGTTTATTCCACAAGATGGCACCAAAAGTCAAGTTTATTTTTCCATACTGCTGCTCCTTGTGATGCATGTGCCTGCCTCTGTTTAACTTTTGTTTTTTTTTCTGAGCAGCTTTATGTTTGTGGCCTGCAGATGTTTATCTGTTCTTGGGGTTGTGCAATAGTCCTGTATGTGAGCCTCTCGCCTTTAGTTTCAGTCTGGATCTAATTGTCTCGGATCAAACTGTTCTAACACAAGAACATGTTCATGTGCAAATGTTCATACTGCATGCAGACTGTAAATCCTTTATTTCCCACCTGTTTTTAACCTGACCTCCATTTTCAAGTATTCACATAGTGGATAAAACACCAGTATCATCTGCTAAATACAAGCCAATGCAATATTACAGCAGTAAACTGTACAATGGTAAAGTTCAGTGTTAGATGTTCGAGTGAATAACACGGCACCATAACACTGTGACTCCATATATTCAGCCTCTGTCGGGTATTTTCGTTCCTGTGTCCACCCCTTGTACCGACTGTGTACTTCTTTGCCAGTTACCGGTGCTGCTACTGCTTACAATTCATGGCTTTTCTTGAAGTAAAGCTGGTATTCCTTTTTGGTGACCATCAATATAAACAAGATAAACGTTTTTTTTCCCATCACTCTGCTCCTTTCTCTCTCAGATATATGGTACCTGTCCCCCCTGGTGTGCCTGGTCTTCATAGCTCTGATCCCTCTCTGGGTGGTGGTGGCCCGACAGAGCCCTCAGATCAGAGAGGTTCTCCGCTCAGGGTGGCAGCCTGTTATCGTGGCCATGTCCATTAGCAGGTATACACTTACACCCATTTGTATTTTTTAGTTTTAATTTAAACACTGACTGCCTAAAACCTGCTGGTAGGTTGAAACGGCCTGATTCTGTTAAAACAGGAAATTGAAACCATTTGTAACTCACATGACAAAAAAAATCAGGGACTATTTGGCTGAACTGCAGCCTGTGTTTACACAGAGCAGATAGGAGACACATTTGGAAACCAATTCAAAATGTAGGTAGTAAATTATCCATCATATGCTGAGAAACCATTTCTATTTCCAGTATTGCAAGAGTAGAGTCTAGGAAAAACGCTGTACAATTATGTTTTTTCAAAATAGGCGGATTGCAGAGAAAAATCAGTCCACAGTGAGTAAAAATGCAAACATGTCTGTCTTGAGAATGAGACCCCGTGTCTCAATGAGAAAATCTGTATAAATAAAGCAAATGATAATAATAAAAAGTGTGACAGGAGCAAAAAAGAAGTACCCAGAAAATGTTTGCTGTTCAGGAGGTTAAATTGTTTTTGTTAACCTGACATTTTACAAAATAAAAAAAAAGAATATTCAAAGTACAATTGGTAAAGGTAGTGCTATGAGGCAGACTGTTTATGACCTTTTTTGGGGGGGTCATGCATGTACATACTGACATATGTGTGACACCGTACACGCTTGTGCCACTGGTGTACCGCCTTTGACTGATGTGCAGATGGTAGTAATACGCTAAGATGTAAAACCTTAAAAATGGCTTTGTAATGTTTTCTAAGGAAGGAAATACGTTCTACACACATGGAAACATAATGGTGAGTCACACCGAGCATAAGCAGAACTTTAGTCTAGACAGGGCTCGTTTAATGAGCGATAAGACTGTCTGGTTTTGTGACAATCATTTTGAGCCAAACTAATTATTTTTTTATAAAGCAGTGTGCAGAAATAGCAAATTAAGTTATTTATGCAGGTAAAGATAAACCATGGCTGGGCAGTGAAATGTTCTGTCATCTAATGCCTCTAGTTTATTGTCTTTTTTGACTTTAAATGTACACAATGTAGTTTTGTATGCTTTGTGTTTTGTCAGTCTTTCTCTTTGCTGTACTCAGGTCTCTCTTGCAAACGTGATCTTAAACTCAAAGAGATGACCTGGTTAAACAAAGGTTGTCTATAAAGAGTTCTGATTCTCTTTCTGATTCCAGCTTCGGAGGCCTTATACTGGACAAGACAGTGAGTGATCCCAACTTTGAGGGGATGGCTGTCTTCACCCCTGTCATTAATGGTAAGCTGATCGATCTTTAAAAGCTTAAACGATGCCATTCCCAAACTTTCCTGCACACGGGTTTGTGTGAATTTATGATCCTTCCCCTAGCTACTTCAGCTGTTTAGGAACCAGTGTGAGTTTGCGTTGGCTGATGATGGAGATCAAAAGATTTATTTCAAAAGTGAAGGGGACGAAAACAGCGTGTGTGCAGCGGTCGTAGCAAAACAGGCATCGATCACACAAAATGACTATTTTCTTGTTCTAGCAGCGTCACTGACTCTGTGGAGAGATGAGCATTCTGTCCGGTCTTTAGCTGCAGATGGAAAAACACCATCTCCAGGACAGTAACGCTCATCAGAGCCGCAGATTCAGTAGTTGTAGTTCCACAGCTGGGATTATTCTAATCCGTGGACTCGTGGACATTTTCCAAGTCTGCCACCAGCGGGTCTAACTCATCATCAGTAAAGCAGTAAGCATCAGCAGCAGCAGTGATTTGTAGGTTTTTTTTTACTCATCGGTCAGCATAACTCTCATTTGCAGGCTGCAGGAGGCCTGCTTCATTTGTTATTTCTCTATAAAACTTATTTTATTCTCCAGCTGGCTTTGTCTGGGTGTATTTTGAGCAGCACAGGTGCTTCTCAGTAATCATAAAATATATCATCATAATATCACAGCCTATTAAAGGATTATATTATAGCAACACTGCAGGCTGTGTTTCTATGATTCCTTTTTGTGAGAGCATGTTGCTGCTTGTCACCTTTAAATTACAGTAGATTATAGTGCGTGATAGATGTCGGCTACGTTATAGTTCAGTAGTGCTGATTGCTGACAGCGTAATAGGACGTGTAGCCTCCAGTTTAAGAGAGAGAGCCACACAATGTTCCTGCACGCTATTTATCACTAAGTCAGAACGCTGCTTTGTCACTTTTTGAACCAAAGCCAAACCTAGAGACTTTCTATTGAGCTTATCTACACTCGCAGGACCCACATGTCACTAACCACCAGTTTCCAAAGTGCGCTGTTCTTCCGGACGTACTGTCCTCTTTCAGCCTCCGTCCTCTTTTACTGTTTGATTTACCTCCTCGTATGTCGACTCCGTTTCCAGTAAATGTGACCAAACTTCAAACCGAAACAACCTCTTATAACGGTCCAACGGGGTAATCTGCCGTTGCGTCGAGCTGCTGATTTTGGCTCAGGCACGGAGACAAACGGGTGCAGAGCAGATGAACCTGCAGGTGGTCGCTCAGCTGGCGAGTACGATGCTGTGTGTGATACTGTCATACAGTGATATGCATCCCCCCTTGACTCCTTCACCATCAGAGCTGAAGGTTGAAGGTAAAGGAGTCTCCATGCACCAGCCAGCTGGAGGCTCAAAATGATGCTTCAGCAACCAAGATAGCTGAGGCAGGCTTCTCCCTCTTAGTAATAGTAAGAGCTTTCAATGAGGTGCAGAGACTAACGTTTCAAAACACCTCTTCTTCAGGGTAAAACTGTCTGACTGTTCATTGTCTTTTTTGTTTTAAGTGTCCCATGATTCCTTGCGGTTTGAACCAGCCAGCTGGGTATTGATTAAGTTTTTTTCTACAAAATCCTTTTTTGATTGAAAGACCAAAGCCACATTCCTCAAATATTGAAATCTTGGCTAAACACAAGCAGCTGCACAAGAAGTTTGCCAGAATAAAACGCCACCTAAAATTGACAACATTATTATTTAAACCGCATCAAGAATAAAACCGACCAGACAGTCATTCATTCATTGGCAATGGACCTTTACAGACACATTTGAATCAGCGCCGTACAAGTCTTACGGCACACGGCCACACCAACAATGCAAAAAGCAGTCCTTGCTGAAAATGAATCATCTTTCCTGAGTAATTTCATTTATTTTTTTGCTCCAAGATGATTATAATTACCTTTATGAAATGAGCTGAAACCAGCGGTCGTCTGGAAGGCAGGAAACCTGACTCCGCCATTAGAGCCAAGTGTCACATATGCTTTTAAAGCATACATAGTTCGAAGTTAATGGGCTAAAACGTGCAGAACGACCGACATGTCCTGTAAATGAAGCCTCAAACCCACTGGAACATTTTGAGAACCACCGTCTTCAGATGCACTACAGCCAGATGTCAAACATCAAACTGTTCTGTTGATGTACAGTTCTATTTTTACAGTCTCTAAAGGAAAAGTTTTACACGGCTTACAAAAATGTAGGAGTAACATCAATATTACATACTGTTGGGCCGACGCTTGAACAATCCAGTGTCAGCAGCTGTAGCATCCGGGATCCGTACTGTCTCCACGCTGAGGACGGGGCTGTGTGGCGTTAATGCAGGTGGCACAGGAGCAGTAACTTCAGCAATGACTTAGACCTTCTGATCATCCATCCATCCATTATCTATACACCGCTTAATCCTCACTCGGGTTGTGGGGGGCTGGAGTCTATCCCAGCCGACTTAGGGTGAAGGCAGGGGACACCCTGGACAGGTCACCAGTCTATCACAGGGCTACACTTAGAGACAGACAACCACACATAATTCACACCTACGGACAATTTAGAATCACCAATTAACCTCAGCATGTTTCTGGACTGTGTGGGAGGAAGCTGGAGAACCCGGAGAGAACCCACGCTGCACGGGGAGAACATGCAAAAAATTCCGGTGCCCCCACCGGGACGCGAACAGGCGACCTTCTTGGTGCGAGGCAACAGTGCTACCAACTGCCCCACCTTGCAGCCCTCATCTGGAACAAAGCTTGCATATGTTGCACTTGCGCGAGGGACAGTCTCAGAACTTTTCGATCAACCCTCGCACATAGCCATCAAGTATCTACAGTCATCCTCAAATGTATTCAAACCCTCCCATTAAAGAAAAGACAAAATTCACAACAGTCACTCAAATAATTAGAAACTGAAAAAAGTAATAATAAATAAAAATTTGCTAAATTATTATTTAGTGAAATATGACATTGCTTTTGAATTGTTGTTGAAAAGATTAATTTAAAAAAAAATATCCCAGACAAATTAGAGCACTTTGCTGATGAGCAGTGGGCCAAAATCAAAACACCTGACAATTTCAACTTAATTCACTGACAGCTGTTTTTTTCCTTCTTTAATGGGAGGGTTTGAATAAATCTGAGAACGACTGTAAGATGCCTTTAACAGGGTTCTTTTTCTAAAACAAGCATTAGCCTCATTAGCTATGTGGCTTCAGGTATAAGCCAACACAAAAGCTGCTTCGCCTGTTGTTTCAAAAATTACTAAAGTGGTAAAGCGTAGCTATTGATTTAATAAATGCTAAATTCATTTTAGTCATCACAGCCAACTACAGTCCTGTAATGAAATGTTTGAAGGCCATATAGACGTGTGAAATAATGAACACCAAGTATGAGAGGAGAGAATCACTGCAAGGCCTGAAAGGAGAAATAAATGGAGCATGACAAATAATCAGGAGCAGAGGGAAGAACAAAGGGGAGATGAAACGGCATTTTACGGTGTGTGCTGATTTTGTAAATGCAGCTCCTTTCACCATAACAAAGTCCCGATCAGCTGGTAGATATCAGAGGATAAAACAACGTCTGAGGCTCTGTACTTACTTTGTACCCACAGAGAACTGATTTTCAACCTATATTGATGTTTGCAAATGATAGAGAAAAAAAATGGATGCACAAAAAAAGAAGCAGCCTTCAGATGAAGTGGTTTAGCTGTGAGGTGATGCATGCGGAGATCCACTGAGTATAGGAGAGGAGTCGATATAAACCGCTAACGGTGCACACCCAGAGTCCTGGCACAGCTGACAGGACCTTCAGTAACCGTCAATGTCACTGTTTCTCATTTAGGTTTTATCCGTCTTCCTGCTGTTTCTCAATCCTCTCTCTCTCTCTCTCTCTCTCTCTCTCTCTCTGTCATTGCACCACTCTGCTAAATTCTAAATTTGCCAATCTGGTTTGAATTTCCCATTTTTTCCCCCCTCACTGGCTTGCATATAAAACCAGTATCATGTTAACTCAATGTTCCCCCAAAGTCTTTTCCATCTCACTAAAAAGAACATCTGTGCCCCCTTTTTTTTTTTTTTGGTAGGGTGGAGGGGGGATACTTGGAAAAAAGGTGTTTGATGTGATGTGAATTAGGCACAGATCCACTTGTCAGCACCGTAATGAAAATAGACTTTGAAACCCAGAGAGATCTGGAAAAGTTGTGTTGCATTTAACAGAAACGCAGCTTTGAAGAATCAGCTCACACCAGAATGAAATGATAAAAAAAATATCTTATCTCTGTTTAACCCATCTGGGGCACATATTAAAACCTGAAAATCAGCGATCAGGCAGCTCAGGCATCTTGACACCGATTCAAGCTATCTGCCAGACTGTGACACATAATGATTTTTGCACAGCCAGAGTCGCATTTCACTGTCGGAACCTCATGCCTGCAGGAACACGGAGTTTCTTTTCCCACATACATGTTGCTGCTCTCGATACTTTCAAAGGTGTTGGTGGAGCTTTTGCTTGTGCCTTTTCTCGTATTTTGTTTTTAGCTGCCGTGCTCTGGCCACTTATTAGAGCGAACCGTGCTCGCTATAAAGCCAGCCTGGATCACAGCTGAACCAAGAATGTGCCACCACTTTGGCCTCATTTGTGTGCAGGCAATGATGAAAGAGGTTAAGCGATTGCTGGTTTTTAAACCTGTGTTTACTATCCCTTCTGGGAAAGAACTCCGTGCTTAAGCTGATTATGATGATCCAAAATCAATACCAGCTTTGTCGGCCATTTTGCCGGGGCGTTTTTGAACACGTACGTAATGCATTAAGTTGCGATTAGCAATTTAAAGAGGTTGCTCTGAACTGTCCTCTTGTCTGTTGTTTCCATGTGCAGGAGTGGGTGGTAACTTGGTGGCCATTCAGGCCAGCAGGATTTCGACCTACCTGCACTTCTGGAGCATCCCGGGGGTGTTGCCCTACAAGATGAGGCAGCACTGGCCCAATCCCTGCATCACCTTCCTCTCCTCAGGTACGCCCATGTTGGCTGCACATTATCTACACACCTTTATATTTAACCATGGGGCTTTTTTGCCTTTCTCAGTAGCATTTGTTGTGAATTGTTGAAATGTTTCTTTCATCTGTTCCTGCCGTATTGTGCATCCATAACACATGTACGCTTAATAATAGCGCTGCCACAGTTAGCTGACATAACTGATGACGTGGATGCAGAAAGCGCTGACACATGTTTTTGCTTCAGTATCACTAAGTAGGTTTCGCATCATGTCATCAGTCGTTTCTGGTCAGCTGCAGTCGGCACAACGGTTTGGTTTAGTCTACAGTAGCAGCAGCTGCAAAGCCTGATTCAGTTCAGAGTAAAAGTTTCCAAAGTGTGGAAGTACTTTAAATGACAACAAGGTGGTTTGTACACCGTGGGAGTTTGGACGGCGGCGCACTGCAGCTCTCCAGCTCTCTGTGCTCACATTTACTGCAGCTGAATTCTCAATAATGCTCCTTTCCTTTACGTATATTTCTTTTTCTGACAATAGAACAGGTATGAAATAGTGACTGAAATGTGTCCAGCAGTCCCTTCCAAGCTGCTGAAGCAGAGTTTAAAAACGACGGCCGTGCTGTGAATTGTGTGACATTTCCTTAGAGTTTAGGGCTGCTGTCAAAATCAGAGAAGGATTACACAACAGGGAGAAAGGGAGTTGTTTTAGCAACTATCCACCATGTTAATGTTACAGTAATGTACATGTTGAACTGTTTTACTTTGAGAGGTTTTATCAAAGCTTTGACTTACATAACCACACTGATGTTTCCAGTTTAACTTTCCAGTTTTGCACTTCTGTAATGTGTAAATCTTTACATTTCATTTCTGCTGTGCATTATACAAAGCCATACAACTTTATGAAAATTGTCATAGTTAGCAGTCCTGGTGCTCACTTATGGTGACGAACCCACAGAAACTGATTGATGAATGACTCTCATTGTTTTGAACTTAGTGCCAGCTGCTTTAACGTCTTGGTTCCCTGTTTTATCAAGTTAACGGCTTTATAGGGTGATAAAAGTGACGGATGTTGCGTTCTCAGCTTGTTCCGATGTTGCAAAGTGACCAAACAATAAAATAGTGTGGCGCTGCTTTTATGGTTTTTGGTTGTGGGATAGTATTGAGTTAAGGGACGATGTGTAACTTTGTGGTTTGGTAGCGTAGCGGTTGTTCTCTTAGAGTCCAAACACTGGTGAAGGAAGAGCAGTGGGTGGATGTTTAAATAACAGAAAGAGGAGCAAAAACACCGAAATAGAACATGTCTGTGAAGATTCTCAGTCATCCAGGTTGTGGTTATTCTCGTAGTTTGATCGTCGCAGCTGGACTTGCTTGAGTTCCTTGAAGACGTTCCACCTTCATCCAAGAGGCTTCATCAGTTCTGACTGACTAGTTGGGAGTTCCACATATTTATATCCTTTAGGAGTCATTAACACCTGAGTTTTGGTTTCAATTTGGGGTTTGTTGCTCCTCCCCCTCATTATGTGCGTCATTAGTACTCCCCCTCCCACCTAAAGACCTAAATAGAACATGACTAAGGCAGCCTCCCTCTGTACCAAACTGAATGAATGTCTCCTGTGTGTCTCCAAGGGGTGAACTCCAAGTCAGCTCGAGTGCTGCTGATCCTGGTTGTACCTGGTCACCTGGTCTTCCTCTACGCCATCTCTCTGCTGCAGGGAGACGAGGCTCCCATCACTATAGCCTTTACCGTCTGCTACCTGTGTGCTGCTCTGCTGCAGGTAACCTGATGTTTCCGTGCTCCACTTTCACTACAACACACAGAGGAAAAGATTTAGATTTAGACTACCGAATGAACTCACTGGCCCTCAGCTGGCATCAACAGTCAGACACAAACTGTGAAAACCAGCCAGAAGGTACATTATAAGACTTTTTACAGTCTGATAAAAATGGCTGCTACCACCTGTCACCTACCTGTGAAGTGACCCGCGCCAGGTGTTGGTGTTTCAGCAGCTCGCTGAGATTTGTTCCAGGACAGAACCGAATGTACGCTGCACTCCTGCCACAGTCACCTTTCTGACCTCCTCAGCGTAACTTCGTGTCAGCTGTTACGCTTGTAGAAACTCCAGACTGATTAACCCTCCGAACCCCAAGCAGATTTTGTCACATTTTCACTCGCTGTGGGCTCATTTTCCACTGCAGTATAAAGTCCTGGTTCTCTGTGGAAACAACCACGAGGAAGGAGAGAGAGCTCCTAAAAATGTCTTCTGTGCAGTGTAACAAACTTAAAATGAATGGAATCAACATATGCAGCGTTTTCCCACACGTGTTACCAATGGTGGAAACAAAAATTGTGACTTTAGCTAAAAGAGATATTTTAATACTTATATTTTTAATTTAATTCCATGATTGTGTCCTATCTGCTCTGTGTAAACACATCCTGCAGTTCAACCAAAAGGTCCCAGAATTTTTGTCATGTGACTGTTGCTCTAAGCTGAGTTTTCAATTAAAACAAAAAATAAACCAATTTAAGCTTAGATTTGGTTTATTTTCTAAAAGGTCACAGTCGAGTCAACATGTGTCTTTCAAACCCAAATGACAATTTACGGGATTCAGAGCAGCGTAGAATGATTAAATGATTTGACTGCTTTATAGATTCATATCAGTGGCCTGGGTTGTGTGGTAAAATAACACAATACTTCAATTGTTTTACCTCTTGTAACTATTATTAGCTGTCTGTTCAAACCATTTAACCACTGTAGTGATGTGTTCCAACTATCTATTTGAGGTGTTTATCTATTACCGTAAATTCCAGACTATTGAGCACCTGAATATAAGCCACACCCACTAACTTCAAAAACAAAACTAACTCGTTCGTTGTCGCTCTCAATATCACTTTCATCTCGAGGCAAATTCGTAAAAATCCATAAATTGGCCGCATCATTGTTTAAGCCGCAGTGTTCAAAGAGTGTGAAAAAAGTGGCGACTTATAGTCTGGAAATTACGGTAATCTTCACTAATGGAATTGTTATCGCTTATTTGAAATATATGTCGATACTTTAAGCTAATTTTTTCCAGCATTACCTTTAGCTAACTATATTACCAATGATTTAGTTACTTCTGACGAACTATCCCGACTTTTCCGCGTACATACTGACCTATTGTGGTATTAACACCACATTTCACAACTGAACCAGGTTGACATGATGAGTTTGTAGTCGTTTTTGGCTGTCGTTCTCCCCGTTTTTTAAATGAGTTCCTCAACAGCTCTTCAAATTTCATCATCAAGGCGTCCTTGGGGATGCAGGTGCATCACTTGTAGTCGCTGTGTTTAGATGCTCATGTTGATCCTCCCATGTTGAACTTGGAACCCCAGCCACTTCAGTCCCGTTGTGCTCTCTCTCCAGGTGGCGATCCTCCTGTACGTCGCTGACCTCATTGTCCGTCTGATGTGGAGACGGAGCCTGGACCCGGACAACTTCTCCATCCCCTACCTGACCGCCCTCGGGGACCTGCTGGGCACCGGCTTCCTGGCCCTCTGTTTCCGCTGCGTCTCATTGGTTCACAGCTGGGGTCTATAAATTCGTCCCGTGAAGCCCCTGAACTCTTAGCCAGCCACCGTCTTAGCGCGACGACTTGTTGCAGTGACAGAAATGCTTTTGATTGGACAATTTTCTGATCTTCATCACCGGGCCACTTCATACCGAGGACTTCGTCTTCATCACAAATTCAAACAGCGGTGGAGAGACACCCAAACATTGACACCCGTCCATCAGGGGGAAGGTTTTTCTGCCTGAGCGCATTCACGTTAACCAAACTAATTCTTTTATTTGAGAGCAAAAGACTTCTGTCCTTTGGAACATCCATTACAGCATATAGTTTGTAATCATTCCACATGATATTTTCTCCTGCAGTAGCTCAGTTTAATTTGGATCCCTGTGTGGCCCCCTCATCGCAGCATATCAGAGGAATATGTAGCAACTTATCATAGCAGTAAGACAACATAGCAGCATATCGACTGTGGAGTCCGGTAGAAGTTTTAGGGGTTTTTTTTCTTCAAATGGCCTTTACTGTGAACATTTGGTCTGTTTGTGGACGTTCATTTAACCTTGCAGATAGACAGAAAATCCCCGTGTTGGGGTGTGCTGTACTATGCATTAATGCTGGACGCTACGGAGGCTGACATATCGTATGCTAACTGGAATTTTCCTGAATGTCGAGTGTGGAATCTTTTGTTTGGGATGAATGTTGTCTTCATGCACACCGGATTAATTGCAACAGAATGTTTTGTCACCTCATGAAAAACATCCCATCTCCGTTATTTATCATAGAATGTACTTTATCTAACCAAAACCCTCCATTTTAATGCTGTTTTCTTCGGATTATTTTTTGTTTTTTTGTGCGGTAGTGAGACGGACGGAGGAGTAGGGTTCGTGTTTAAGAACGGTTCGTTAGAGAACCTTTGACAAAATGAGGTCAAGAGAACAGAACTGACCACAAAGACTGAGGAAGGGAAGTTCTTTATATCTATAAATGTGTTCACGATCCCTACTTTGTATGCTTCACCAAATGACGCACAGAGCTAGAATGACGAGTGGGAAAAATGCACTTAAAGTTTTTCGTAAACGAATTATTTGATGTTTTGGGAAATAGACAAGAGTTACATGAGAAGGTCAAAGACGCTTGTACACTGATTATGAAGCTACTAATTAACACAAATTGTTGCCCTGTGACCAGCCAAAAGGTTTCTCAAGGAAATGAGAACAAACGTATTTCCCAAAATGTCAAACATTTCTTTTTACGATTTGGAGAACTGCATCTAAAACCAACTTGATGAGGCAACAACAGTCGTCTTCTGCACCCGAATCCCTGCTCCTTTAAAAGAAACTCACCAAAACACCAAACAGGCACGTGTGAGAATAGGAGGGACTTGTGCCGAGCCTCCAGAAGATCCAATATGCAGACGATGTAGTGCTTTTCGTTGCACATACGTGAGGTAAATATAGTGTCATCAATTGACAACGTTACAGTAAGAAGTATAAGCGAGGAGATTGTCAAATTGTACATCATATTAAAAATAGTTAAATTCCCAAACACTTCATCACCTGTGTTCCAGAAGACTGTGAAACCAGAAAATGTGTCGTCGTACACCGTTCTCTACTTGTGTAGCGAGCTCAAAATTGAAAAAAATATTTAGAAATATTTAATTTATTAAGAATTTTGTGCCGCTGCTTGATGTTAAAAAAAAGAAGAAAAAAAAAAACAGACAGCAGAGAACTCCTATTAATGTTTTCCAGTACTACATGCTGCAGAGGATCCTGGATATTCGGCCACAGAGGTTAGCAGTCCCTTTAATGGAGTGTTGACGAAGCCTTAGTGTACCGTGTTAAGTTTCCCGAACCACATAACCTCGTCATCTAGCCGTGAGTGTGTATACATGCACACTCCTGAAGGTGTGTTCAGACAGAAAGCGAAAGCCTTGCATCATTCGCACCAATTTGACCGCCAGATAGTTCAGCTCGACCTCCGACTGAATTCAGAACTCCCCCTCGTGTTCAGTTCTTGGTTCTACTCCCTCCTCTCCCCAGTTTCTTTCCCCTTTTGTCTCATGCATGCATTAAGCAAATTCTTAATTTGCTCTGCTGAAGTGATCTGAGACATTTTCAGCCCGTGCAGATGCTTTTGCGCCACCCTGGGGGACTTTGCATGCAGTCTAAAATTGGCCTCGCATCCTGTGTGAACACAACACAACACTCTTAATTCGTTTAGAATCATGTTAAAGCAGCCTGACAAGCAAATTAGACACATTTTCATTCACAGTAAGTGACACAGGATACTTAGTAAAAACTACTAAAATCAGTTATTTCAGAAACTGACTCCATATTACAGATATATTAATACATTTACATTTCTTGTGGGTCGTTCGTTTTGTTCTCCAAAATTTACACTATATGTCAAAACAAGACTGAAACACAAACGTGTAAACGCACTCATTAAATCACACGGAACATCGTTGCTGCTTCCTGTTATACTAGTTGTACCAATTTTTCTGAAAACAACCTGTCGTGTCATCGACTGAATATTTACGTGGGTACTTGAGTACGACTAGCGCTTTGCTAAAAGCTCATGTTGTGACACTGTTACACACTTAGAAGGTAAATGACTTGTAGACCTGTACTTGAATCACAGTTTATTTCACTCGAAGCTTACTGTAGAAGTGTTAACTGTGATACTGTGAGAATTAGACCACAGCTAAGGTTGTGTTGCACCAGCAAATAAGTGTACCGGGCTGGACGATAAAACCTCAAATCCGTGTCATTATCGGTTTGCACATTGACATAGATAACGATGAATGTAACAATACGCTTTATCAGAGAATACATCCTTACTTTTTATTGCCATGATTGTGTTTGCTCACTTCTGTTTGTCCTAGTTGTGTGCAGTGATCTACAGACCTCTGGATTATCTGGTTATACGTCTCTGGTTCTGTTAAAGTTAATGGATAGTTCATTGTTTTTGGGAAAAATGTTCATCCATTTGATTGGGCGCCTTCCTTTGGAGGTGTTCCTGTTTCTGTTGGTGTTCAGATTCAACAAAAAGCAGATGTAATGCAGTGATTTATAAACCTGAGAGGCAGAATTTTTAAAACGTTGACTAGAGCAACGGCTAACTTTCCACCTAATTTAAATCTTTTTAGCGTTTGGCTAAATGCAAACCATAGACTGCTCATAAACTATGGAGTTAGCCTTTAGGTCTAAAGAGTGAAGCCAATGCAGAATGCGGAAGTGCCTTACGCCTGCATTCTTTCTAACAGCCAGCAGGGGGCGACTCTCCTGGCTGTCAGAAGAAGCCGAGTTGTATAGAAGTCCATAAAAAAAGAACCCTACTTCTACAGTAAATACTTTCCGAACGGTGGTCTCAAAGGCTACTTTCAAGACTGCTTAAATGCAGCATAGCGTTCATTTTGCAAATTATGGTCCCGTTTAGAGTTAAATAGGAGATAAAACAAGGCACGTCTTAAGGCGGGGCTACCGGGTGATTGACAGATCGCTGCTATGTCACCAGGCAGTGTCATGTTTAATGTCATCAGGGCCACAGCTTGCTCATTACGTCTCATTTAAATGACTAAGACGGCGACGGCCCAATTTTAAACTCCACAAACCAGTGAGTGACGTCAAGGTGGATTTTTCTTTCCCAAAATGCTCCTTTAAAACCTGCGGTTTATCATCCAGCCCTATGATCTATTTAAAAAAAAACAATAACAACAAAAAAAAGAGTTTGATGCTGAAGTATCGAACTGCAAACTTGCACTTTTGTTTTCTTAGTAGTCTGAAGTTGCCTTGAAAACAAAAATTAATGTCAACTGTGTGGTGACTAACATCTCGTCGACGTACAGAAAAGACGCTTTATTTAAATGTTGCAGCCGTCCTTTCTCTTTATTTATTTCAGTAGGTAAAACTTTGTACTGTACTTCAATGTTGACACTGCCACATTACGAATTTAGGGGGAAAAAAAGCCTTTATTTTCTAACCTCCCTGTGTTCACCGTCGCCTGAGCTTCCACACCCACACTGTGCTGTCCTATGTGTGCGCAAAGGTGAAGTGTGAAATGAAAACGTTTGGTGAGCGTCAATGTGATTTTTGTGGCTATGAACAATTCTATTTTAATAAAAACCAACAGTGGAGTGTAGTCTGTGTTTCCTTTGCCAAGCACACGTGTGGTCATTTATGGTCATTTTTCACTGTTTTAGTATTCTGCAGGTGGAACAATGACACTAGCTAAGCTCACAAATTGTATTAAAATGACAGAAAACAAGGAAAATATCGTGCGTTAGTACTTCTACGTAGCAGCAGGTGGTGCCAATTCTGCAGCGGGGTGCCATCAAACCACAGCAGAGGACTTCAGGACAAGATGACATAATGATAAGATGCTTTATAACATCGATGGTTAACTTCTTGATGCAAAAAACTTTCTTCCTGCATTTCAACGCCCCCAACAACAGGTTGTCTTTGCACACATTGTGAGATCAAGCCCTCACAATGTTGCATTGTAGAGAGAAACCCAACACATCCAACGCTTTCCTTTGAGCATCTCTTTGGTGACAGTGGGAACTAAAACCCCTTCGACCAGGCTCGGAGGATGGCCGTCCACCTCGACAGCGCTGCAGCCGTTGAGTATTAGTGTGTTGAGGAGAAAGACCAAAAACAACTTTATGAAAAGCTTCCTCTACAATCATTTAGCGTAGGCCCCTTTACACCCACTATTAAAACCCGTTTGCAAATCAGCTGTACTTGTGTGAAGAGGACGAGGCGGAGCTATCTGGCCTTTCCAAGCTGCTGTTTTTCTTCAGAATGCGGTTGCGATGTGCAAATTGCTTTAACACCTGACTGATATCTGCACATCATCTCTCTAATCTGATCTTAACCGCAGCCCGTTCTGCACGCATTTAGCACCTCGCTTTAAATGATAAAGTTTTCCTGTTCTACCTGGAGTATCTCCCATTGTAAGGGTCCGAGCACCCAAAAGGGTGCGAAGACCCTATTGGAACTGCTCGGATTATTAGAGTCCGAGCACACCAGTGCAAGGACCCTGTTGTAACCGTTGTGATTATTATTATTTATTATTATAATTTTACCGACTTTTGAAACGCGATTGTGAGGGCCTTAACATGCTCGAAAACTCACCAAAGTTGCCACGCACATCAGGACTGGCGAAAAATTTGTTATTTTAATGGACTTGGACATGTCACTGCCAAAATGGCTCCACAGCGCCACCTTGAAAATTTCAATGAAGTCNTTGTTGTTGTTTTATGGAATTGTTTTCCTGTTTCTTATTACTTTTCTTCTGTAAACCATTAAATGTTACACACTATTTGTGTTAAAATGCTATACAAATACAGTAAGATTCCTTTTGTAAGGTTCCTCTAATGTGTCCTAAAACTTTATTCTCCTCCCCTACAATGACCGTACCTTATCTAATGAATCATTTTTGATCAACACAGACTTGTTCCTTTTGTATAGGATTAACTTTATTTCCTAACTTGAATGTTGCTTTGGCTTCGTCTGCAACTTAAATGCTGTATAACACATGTTGGAATTATATTTTAAACAGTTTGACTATTGATAAGGAATTTTGAATTTTCAGGCTCAGGACAAGTCACAACTAAAGACATTAAAACTTCATTAAAACTGAAATTAAAAAAAACTAACATCAAAAATAATGTCCCACCATCACCAGGGATGCTTTACCAACATTGGCCAGGAAGTCATGCTAGCTAGGTAGCTGGTGGCAAGCTAATTTGCTAGCTACTCACCACACACACACACGCGCACACACACACACACACACACACACACACACACATTCAATTCTGTCACAACAGCAGAGCTGTTTGGCTTAAATTAGCAAAGAATTCCTGCTAGCTAGCTAGTGCTATAACAAGCTAATGTAGCATAACAATATTAGCATAACAGAAAGTCAACTAGTTAGCCCTTAGTCTTTTACAGCTGGTTAGCTGTTATGTTATCATATTAGAAGATTGCTGAATAATGGAATTATTTTTTACTGCAAAGCAGTTTGATTATTGCCAGTTATTTTAATAGATAGGCCTGAGACATGTCACAATTAGAGACACTATAACTGTATTATCACTGAAATTGAAATGACTGACATAAAAAATTATGTCGCATCACCACAGATATTTAACGTGCAACTAGCTAACTAGTGCTACAACAAGCTATAAAGTCAGCTAGTTAGCCTTTTAGACATAGTTACACATTTTACTGCTGGTTAGCTGTCGTGCTATTGTAATAGATGATTTAAAAAAAAAAAAAATCTGAACTGTTTGATTATTGTCAGTACAGGTCACATCAGCGGAGATGTTTAGCCTAGATTAGCAATGAGGTCCAACTCGCTAGATAGTGTTACAATGTAATGTAGCACAACGTTTTTAGCTTAACATAAGTAAGGTAGTTAGCCTTTAAGACAAATACTGAGACAATTTTACTGCTGGTTAACTGTTATGTTATTATATTAGATGATTGTGTAGATAATATCGGCCCTCAGAAATCTACAACTGGTGAGGCTAGAATATTAAAATGGCTTCTTACCCCATATCAGGGGACCTCATTGCTCAGAAGTCTACATTTTAAAAAATAACAAATAACCTTTATAACTAATGTTAACAGTAAAAAAATAAAACAGTTTTAAAAAAGTGTATATGTATATATTTATAAGAAGTTACAACAGCTTATTTTGTACTGTCAAAATGCTACACTGACAGATGTTAAAACCAGTTGTTTGATTTCTTCTGACTAGTAAAATGATTTCAAGGCTATTTAAAAAAAAAAATAAAAAAAAAAATTAGGCCAATATCATTCAAGAAACTACCTGAAAAGAAAAAAAGATTTCTGGTAACTTTCCAGAATGATGGTGTTGGTTTCCTTTTTTTTTTTTTTGGATAAATTCCCTGAACACAAACGAACGCTTTTCTTCCAGGCGAACCTTGAACTCTGGAGTCCGACTGGCACACTTTTTTCTGTCCATTACGGTAAAAATGGCAGCGCGGCGTGTGCTCCCTGCTCTGGAAATACGCAGAAATGGGGGTGTAACAGGGAACTGCACAAACCCAAAACAGCCGCGGGGCCGGGCTGCCGCTTCCTAAAAGAAAAAAGGGGCTTTAACGGACACAATCACGGGTGTTGCAAAGCCATAAACCGGCACATTATGTGAACGGGATGTGCTGATAATGTCAGACTCTTATGTTTAGCACCTTTTTTTGCAGCAGTGGTGAAATCCACGGAATGTTCCACAGCGGAACAGCTGACCATAGGATGCCGCACTTAGCCTAACGAGATGTGAGCATTACAAGGAAAATATCAGTGATCAGATGGTTGCATATTAACAATCAGGTAACTACACTCCTCCTCTTGTTATTGCTTTGTCTCGGCTGAATTTTGAGGCTTCACAGTGCGTTTTTACGGCAGACGGGCAGACTGCTTATTGGGGCTGTCATCCTGCTCAACCTCCAGCCCCTCCTTGTTTTGCTGCTACCGAGTGCGATGTTGTAATGTTTACATTTAGCCAATGTTGCATACGGCTGCTCCGCTCCTTAGTCAGCTATTCATTAGGTGCACACATTGGATGCGTCCAAAACGAGCAGATACGCTCCAATACTTTGCAGTGAAGCATCCAAAAAACAAACGACATTATTTATTAACTCTTCCAGGACAAATTAGGCCTGATAGGGCTACCTATTAGGCCTAATGAAGCTTGATCACCACCAGTGCAACATCACACAAACTCTTCTGCAGCTGCATTCACTGGCCGGCGAGAGCTCAGCTGCAAAATCTCTCCTGGTAGCTGATGAAGGGTGTTTCTGACTTGATCATGCAAGTGCAATATTACATAACCGGCTGGGTAGTCTATAGTAGGACACCGTGGCCTCCAAAAACAGACTGTGAGCAACAATAGAGTTGCACACTTGGAGGAGTGTGTTCTGCAGTGTAAAAATCAGTGAATGCATGACTTCAGTTGGCTGAATCTAAATAATTTAAAAGGCTGTTTCACTTTTTTTTTTTTACTGGCATTAAGCCTCATGTTTTTGTTTTTGAAGGGAAACCGAGGAGCAATTTCTGTCCACGTGATGCTCAGATGTTTAAATAATACACCAAGATCCCTATGTGGAAAGGGTTTGACCTATTGGAAGTAATTGTTTATGCATATTCTGATTGTCAGTGGTGAAAGAAGTAGGCAAAGTAAGGAAGTGTCATCATGCAGAATAGCCTATGACAGTGTAACTAGATTTGCTTCTTTCATGCATGTATGCTGAGTTCAGTTTTGATTGCCTTAAGCTATAACAGTGAATGCATCATATTTTAACTGTGGAAGAGCTGCCGGAGGAGCAAAAAGTGACACTTTTCCCTCAGAGTACCTGCAAATTGTACTTAATCACACTGATTAGTTGAATGCACCTAGTTGCTTTACTTCATTGCTGACTTCTTTCTGGTGACCCTGCCACCTCTCAGGCAGCCTGTTGTTTAGAAGCCAGCAGTAACAACAGGAACTGCTTGTTTTGATACACTGTAGCCTGGACTGTCTGGACGTCTGCTGTCTGTGTTTGCGCCGCTCTGATTGGCCGCTGCGCCGAGGGGGGCGTGGTTTCGTCATAACAATGCATTTCAAGGAACACACACGCGCCAAGGAATGTTTTCTGTCGTTGTGTAGCTAACGTTTATTGTGTCGCACGTTTAACGGTTTCCTCTGCGCAGGTAAACGCTGCCGTTAACGGACGCAACGGTGTTTTTTGTTTTTTGAGGGTTTTTTTGCGGGTTCCTGAATCTCAACGGATTCCCCCCTCCCTCCCTCCCTCCCCTCTGATGCAGCAGTGTGTTAGCTGGCTAACGTTAGCAAGCTAGCTAAAGCCAGGTCCGTCAGTTCGGGGGTGGGGAGGGAGGGGGGAACGTTGTGAGAAAATTGTCGAGAGGAAGCAGCAGTCGATTGATGGTCCGTTAGCGTCGTTTGTTTTCGTCGGGAGATGGTGGTCGGTTACATGCGAGGATAACTTAATGGGACACGACGTTTCTGAGGCTGGAACACCTGCCATCTCCCCTCTCCCAGCGAGCAAGCAAACTAGCTAAGAAAGTAAGATGTTGGCTGTGTTGTTGCCCAACTCGTAGCTAAACCTGTCCAGACGCTGCCGCTCTCTGTCTGTGGTGTACATGTGCAGTTGTAGTTTAACGTATATCCTAACCGTGTGTTAGCATGCTGGCTATCAATAGGTGGCTGTTGTCTGCAGCTGGTGAGTGCTGCTATGTTGGACAAAGCGTTAGCCTAGCTTGGCTAAAGTTAGCTGCTCTCCTTCAGCAGGGGACATCTGATTTGCCCTGGCTTTAGAGGAACCAGCGGTTGCCCCAGCGATATTGTTTCTCATTTTTGGCAGTGCAAAGCTTTGCATAATACTTGTGAGAAATGGTATGATGGTGCAACGGCCTCCTACACTGCCTGGTGGCGAGCCGTCCCGCTTTACCCACCACATCTTTTGTTGTTGCTTTGTCTTATGAGCACATGGCTTTCCATGTTTTTGTTCAGGCAGGCTACAGCGACCCCTATTTATTATGTCCCCGAACCGCGTTAATTAGACTGCCACATTTCTGGAATTAGCAATTAAATATTTCACAATTTCAGTTAAACACGTGTAACGGCAAGCTCATTCCAATACCTTGAAATTAACCCTCTAATTAAGCAATACGTGTAGGCTGACTCAGTAATGATTGGGGCTTTTTAAATAGGTAATCATAAGTGACATATGTTGTGTGTTTTTGTGTTATGAATGCTGAGCTCTTGATTACTCAAATGCTCACCTGTACCAGACAACATACAGTGTTTTGTCTTACATTCGGTGATAACAACCTCATATGTGCTGCAAACAGGTTGTGACTTTTTCTCCTGCATTTCACATTAATAAAGCAATTATTTTAAACTCCTAATGAAATGTTGGAGCAAGTGAAACACCCAGCAGTCAGCGGGAAATTCAATATTATTATCCAGAAAAGCTACCAGAATACTTTTAGTATTTTTGGGCATTTCATTGTCAAAACTTATCCAGAATCAGGGATGAACTGGTTGACTTTCCGTTATGTTTATCTATGTAGCCAATGTTTGCATCAGTCGGAAGTGGTCTGTTGCATAAGTGCTGTGATTGTGATCTAGGCCATTTCCATTAAATTCTTAGAACCCACAATAAGGTCAGTGAAACAAACATAGCAGTGAGACATGTAATCCCTGGAGCAACAACAAGGGCACATGTGCTTCGGTAAAATATGAGGTCACGGTCATTATCTCAAATCACTTATGTCTTTTCTCTGTGTTCTGATATTTTGGGCAATTTACAGCTTTGTTAATGCAACATTTAAAATAAGAAGAAGATGCAAAGTTGGCTTGCTTGAAAATTTAACCTGCAAAGTAGGTTCCTCTCACTGAAGTGGGAGTTCAGATACTGTGAGTGGTCCTTTGGTGAAATGAACAATAATTTACATTTTCCATTATTTCAGCCCTTGGTGTATTAGCATATAATTGCATAATTGCGTAGTACAGCAACATATATGATTCCAAGTGAGTGGGCGGTCTGACAGATCTGAAAATCTCTGTGAATTTTTAATATAGGGTCTCAAATGTGACGGGTGCTGCACACGTTACACCTAAATCTGCTGTATTCTTGTTGGAGAGCACAGTTACCATGTTGTAAACTTGTAGCTTTGATCGGGTGATTATCAAACGACACATTAAGCTGTGTAAGCACGAGGAGCCAGATTGTTAATTTGTCAATTTGTGTGTTTTTTTTTTTTTTCAGGGTTAAGACAATCAGAGGCAACATACAAGTGCCTCCACTGTACGGTTTCCTTTCCCAGAGTGTGACTCGTCTGCACGACGTCACCAATGCGACCATGGGAAATAGCAGTAAATAGGCTGCCACCAACAGCCCCCTTAAATCCGAGGAGGTTCCTTGGAGAGCCCTGCAACGCCCCAGTGCATCTCAGGAGAAGGTAAAGTCTCACATTTTTTGCTTGAAAGGCTTTCAGTTATTTTGTTGTATAGTTTACCTGCCACCTAAAAAAAGATAACCGGTTCCTTAAGAAGAAAAACGGTGTTAGTCAACATAAGAAGTCATTATGTGCAATTATGGCTTGTGGCAAATAATATTTCAATAGAATAATAGACACGGAACGAGAAAATACATGAATTCTGACACATTTATATTGGCTATTTAAGTTTAAATGAATTTGCTTGGCAGTCGAGGCCTATGTGGAATGAGCAGCTGTGCATCTGACGAATTCAATTAAGAGATAATTCTATGGAAGTAGCATGCTGTCCATCTCCCTGATAGGGTTTTTATGAATGATTCATCCAACAGCCTGTGGCAATTCCTTTTTTTTTTTTTTCCTCCTGCAGCCCACCAGTGAGACGCCAGTGGGGGAGACGAGACAGACCTGTACTGCACACTTCTCCGATCCAGGATGAGAACTTCCATCATCTGCTTTTCTCCCAACATCACCAACAGGTTCCTTTAGATGAGTCCAGACAGTACAGCCACACCAGCACACCACCACGCATGCTTCACCCTGCTGCTCACCTGCCCCAGCAGAGCCCCATCATGGTGGATCTACATGACCAGGTAACAGAGCAACCAGTGGGTAAAGTGTCTACAGCATTTATTCAGTATAATTTGTCATGTCTTACTAAATGCAGTCCACAGCAATAAGCACATTTAACATGATGCAGGATGTTGTGTTGAGATGTGTGATGAGTTGTTTATTTTTTTTAAGCATATGATATTATGCAGATTATGGTATTACTTCATCTCCCTTCACTTCTTGTCTTGAAAGATGCACCAGGGATCAGTTCCAATATCATACACTGTTACAACGGTGACGACCCATGGATTTCCCATCCACACCGGGCAGCCCCTTCCAGGGTGCAACACTCAGCAGCTCCCAGCATGCTCGGTAATGTTCAGCGGACAGCTCTCTCTGCTCTGCTGCCTTCCTCCTCCTGTGAGTTTGAAAAGGAAGAGCCCAAATGTCAGTGGCATCCATGTAGCACACCATACCAGCCATGCAATCTGTCACTGTTCATGACTAACAAACAAGCTGCTTGGATTTGTAACTTAGTCTTCATGTTAGCACGATAATTACAAGCAGTACGGCAACATAAAGCAGCATTTTTTTTGTACACTTTAGTTTATTTTCTTTTGAAACACATATACTGTAGTAATAGTGTTGCTGGAATAGTTGTTGTATTATTCAGACTGGTGTTGTGGCAGTACTGTCAGTGGTGTGGTTTTTTTTGCAATGCATCGCTTCTGTTCACTACATGCTTACAACATGCTTTCATTATAGCTGTCTTTTTGTGAATATGAGGAGCAAGTTTGCTTTGGTTCGGTGGAGGCTTTTTCAGAGTGTTTAGCTTGATACAAAATTGACTTAAATTTATGTCTGTTCTTGTCTCTTTTTGTCTCCTCAGCTCATACAGGCATGTACCATGCAACATATACCGGTGTCTTATCAAGCCTTTCCACCCCTGATCTCCAGTGAACATTTTGTACTGCACCCAACCCCATCTGTACCCCCCCACCAGCCGCCGCACCTTACTCCTTTGAGCCAGTTTGTCCCTTTACAGCCTCAGCACCCACGCATGGTGAGTAGTCCACAGTACGCACGTGTTCATTAATTAAAACACAGAAGGCGTAAGAATAACTTTCAGGCCTGCATATGTTGAATCTGACAGCAACCTTTTCTTTCTCCTGTCAGCCTCTACAGAGGGTAGAGAATGAAGTTGACCTAAGAGGGGACCAGCACCCATTAGGGACCTTCTCCTACCCTCCTTCTCATCACCCACCAGCGCTGCCTCCTTCTCTCCCTCTACAGTATCTTCCTCAAGAGCCTCTGCATCAGGAGCTTCCCTTCGGAGTGGTAAGATAGCCTGTCAGAGATTCTCAGACCTTTATTTCCCAGGGAAATTGACTTTGCACTTACAACTTTTTTTAGCATGACCTATTTAACACACTCAGTGAGACACGTTCACAGCTCAGGGCTATCCAGTACATCTGCATTCTCATCCTGCTGGCCCCTGAGCAGCTCCACTGCAGCAGTCTGGGTATAACTAATTTGCTCAAAGGCACCTCGGCAGCCATTGTGCGACAAGAGTGTTTCTTACCCAGGACATAACTAGGACATGATAAGCTGAGTATAAGTCAAGTTAAATAGATGCTTTTTTTTTGTACAGTAGAAATTGTTAACTGTTTAACATAGGTGTAACTAATCACTGAATGGCTTGAAGGGATGATTAATGATGTTATTTCTCGGTGAGTGTTTTTTAAAAGCTGTAATAATTTAGGTAATTTTGGAACAACAAAGAAACAAGCGATTGACTCGTGAAGCTTAACTGCATTTAGAGTACAAGATGGATCAACACAGAAGAACCAAAAACTGGTTGATGCTCACAAACCAAACACATCAGTGCATTTTTTTTTTTTAAACTGATGCTGACGTTGTTTGTGAAAAACACTGTGAATAGCTACTATACAGGAGTGTGATTTTATTAAAACGTAAATAGTGACATGAGTGATGCTTGTTTATCTCCTGAGCTGGATGTGAAAGGGTTAAAAATTGATTATTAAATGAAATTTCAGTGTTTAGTTACATGCAGCTCGTGGATTTTGGCTGATGTGAGAGATCCGTGTTTGCTCGCTTGCACTTTTTGTACTTTTAAGTGCGAGGCCAGATACATGTTTAAGCTTTCAGAAAAATTCGACACTTGATTGTGACTTGGCAGGGCTCCAACTTTTATCACTACCAGCTCCCAACTTAAAAAGCTAAGGAGAAACAACATTTAGGAGCATCACTTAAATCTGCTCACAGTGCAACAAATTCATATTGATTCCATTTTAACTCTATTACTGATAAATGCCAATACACAGAAAACCAATATGATTTTTTTTTTACAACGGTTACAAAGCAAAGTTGTGCTTTCATAGAAAATAATCAATTAAGTTAGAGGCGCTGTAATTCCATCAGTGCATGTGTCCCTGCCAGAGATGGCAAAAGTACTCACATTCTTTACTTAAGTCGAAGTAGAGGTACTTGTATAAAAATAGACTCTGGTAAAAGTAGAAGCACTGATTCAGCTCCTTTACTCAAGTAAAAGTAAAAAAGTACAGGTTCAGAAATTTACTTAAGTACAAAAGTAAAAATGAATTTTTAGCCCCTGCCTTCGCCCTGAGTCAGCTGGGATAGACTCCAGCCCCGCCGCGACCCCAGTGAGGATTAAGCGATGTATAGATAATGGATGGATGGATGAATTTTTAGCTTCGATGATACACGATGCCTCTTGATAAGTCTGCAAAACAAAAATTGTTTTACGCACACAAAATCGGATTGTTTTCATCCTTTAAGAACCTGCACCAAAAATAATCACTGGGCAGTTTTCCATTTCAACAACATTAAACATTATAATCAACATTGAAACACTCGTCTCTTCAAGACTATCAACATCTTTTATTGAGCCTCAGTAGAAGCTGGTTCTCAAAGTTCTCTGAATGAAAATGTGCCCTTTTGGGTCTGAAAATCAGTCCTGCAGTGCTAAAGAGCCTCTCGCAGGCAGCTGAGGCAGGCAGGGGTGTGTTGCGCTTCAGGGGCAAATTGCACACTGCTGGGAAAGATAAAGACGTTTGTTGTTACATCAAGTCGTCATCCACAGAGGTTGAAACAAGTAACGAGCCAGTTTTGAGAATGTAAGGAGAAGAAAGTGCAAACGTAGGGAGTAAAAGTAAAAAGTCGACAGAAAAATTAATACTGAAAGGACAGATACCTGCAAAATCTACTTAAGTACAGTAACAAAGTATTTGTACTTCGTTACTTCCCACCTGTGGTCTCTGCATAGTTCATGCTTCCTGCTTTATGAATGTTTCAGGTTTGATTTAAATGGAGTTTTCCCCACAAATCGTCCCCGCACTGAGAGCAATACATACAATACATAGAGGTTCTCTCCCTGCAGTGTTTCCCCTACAGTATCTGTCCTCAGTCTCTATCTCACTCACATACTCCAATTCTCGCTCCCTCCTGGTGTTACACATAACAGGATGATGGATTTTTTTTTTTAAAAGAGGAGTATATTTGCAAATTGCACTGGTGCTTGTGGTTATAAGATTTAGAAGCACTAAAATGCGACTAAATGGTCACAGTGTGGAGCTTTCCTTGGATGTTGATATGAACACTGAGAGCTTGTAATTATGACAGCACTACCCAGAGCTGCTGCTTCCAATATTGTGACACAGTACTGTTTGTTTTTAACTGCTTTTCTTCAGTCTTATTTCCTAACTTGCTGTCATTATAAAGTCAACTGGAAGAAGACCGGTCACCTCAATAACAAACTTCCATCTTATATAACTCCATCGATCTGTGTGTTTCTCTGCAGCCATATCCCCACATGCTGCCCCGGAGAGTGAATGGACAGAGATACCGGTTGCAGCAGCCTCTCCCCCCTCCTCCTCCCCCTCCATCTTACTACCCAGGCTTCCTCCCGTACTTCCTGTGAGTACCTCCAGTAAAATCACATCTTTTAAATGAACCATAGCACTCTTGAACATGTTTTTTATTACCTAACTGTAAAGCGTCTGATGTTGGTAGTATAAGTTTCTGGCCTCCATGATGCAGTTAAATTAGGGCTAATAACGTGCTGCAAGACCAGGTTTTTATCTCTGCTTTTCACAAATGAATGGAGGTTTCATTGCGGTGTTTGCAGAGCATGTGCCGCTTACCATCACTGTGAAGTTGTCTGCGATTGGTTTAATGGTTGCTCAGCAGGTCATGAACCTTTCTGTTTCTGCTCAGGTCAATGCTTCCTGTGCCTCCAACAGCAGTGGGCCCAGCCATCAGCCTAGACCTGGACGTGGATGATGTAGAGATGGAGAACTATGAAGTTAGTCAATGTGTTGATTGATGAAAAAACAGTAAATATGAAATGTTTGGAGCTGTTTCTGTTGAGAAGAAGCATCCTGTTTGGTCGCACTTTTGTCTGTCACTGGTGGACTTTATGTAAAGATGCTGATGGGTGGCTGTAATTCAGAGCATATTTAAGTATTTAGAAGTGCAACCGTACAAGAAGAACTACGTTGTTCACTGTAGATGATGGCGAATTCATGTACACATGTAGAGATACTCATGTCCAATATGGTTCTCAGTTTTATACTTGGTCAGGAATTCTAAAACCAAGACAAAGCATCTTTCCTTTTTAAGTCTCTCATGTCCTATTCTGTCCCAAAACATCACCATTCTCCTTTCTCCCTGTCTCTCTCCAGGCATTATTGAATTTGGCAGAAAGGTTGGGTGAAGCGAAACCACGTGGACTAACAAAAGCAGATATAGAGCAACTTCCGTCCTACAGATTCAACTCAGAGAATCATCTATCTGAACAAACGCTGTAAGCCTGTTTCTCACTCACAATCAAGCTCATATTCCTCCAGTATTGATGGCCAGCATCCTGGTAACTCGTTTCTTTTTTCCCCCTCAGGTGTGTTGTGTGCTTTAGTGATTTTGAGTGTAGGCAGCTACTTCGGGTATTACCTTGTAACCACGAATTCCACGCTAAATGTGTGGATAAATGGTTAAAGGTGAGTCGATGTCAGGTTTGATATTTATTTAAACCCTTCACACATACTGCCACGCGTAGCGGTTTGTGTTTTTACATGTTATGTTTTCTTCCACTTCCAGACCAATCGCACTTGTCCCATTTGCCGAGCCGATGCCTCGGACGTACACCGGGAGGTGGAGTGAGAACTGTCTCTGAGCGCTGAACTGGAAAAGCTGCACACGCCAGAGTCTGTCCCAAAGCTGGGGACACCTGCCACCTAACCTGCGTCCTCCAGTAAATATAGCTTACCAACCCACTTACTCCTGCCCCTTCCTAAATAATAAGCAATCCAGGATTGTTTCTGGAGCCTGTTGTACCTCTGCTGTGCTTCATTGTCCGAGTCTCATGAAACCCACTGCCTACTGCAGCCTATAGCCAGAGTTCTGGGATCGCCAGCCAGTTCTTTCTCTGCCCCCTTGTTGCAGATTCCAAAGATTTTCCCTACAATGCATTATTTGCTGCTTTTGTTTACAGGGTTTCATTTTTATTTAGTGGATTTGGTTGTGGTGTTCATGAAAAGCGGGAGTCCTGCATTGGAAGAGATGGTTCGGAAGCCTGGAGGATGATAGGCTGGACACCTTGTGCAATTAGCAGAAAAATAATAGGAGTACTTCAACATGGGTATCTGTGTTTGGAGGCGACGCCTGACCATCATAGATGCATGTTCGTGTAGGTGTTGGGCAAAGGGACTTGTTAAAAATGTATGTTCTGCAATAATATATCGATCCTTTTTAACGGTTTTACCCCTTATTTGTTTTCGACTTTGACAATGCTATTGTGAAAGTGTGACTTGCTGTGGTTAAATGCAGATTCTGAGGTTACGGACTGCAAGCGACGGGACATGCAACTGCAGGGTATCTCCTACTCTGGAACACAGATCTGTACAAAAAGCAGTCATGGATTAATGGACTGCGTCTTTTTGAGGTCATCTGGCATAACTGCACAAGTGCTACATCCACCCTCCACGTCAGCATTGTTCTTCTGGCAAGTGTGTACGCGTGTGTGCATATTGTGTGTGTATGTTTGTCCTGTTCACAGAGCCAATGCATTGTGTAACCACTGGATACAGGGCAGCATGCTAAGGATTTGCATGAACTGTTGATTCAGACTAGCAATATTTTAATCAAGCATTGCCACCAAAATTTATCAAATTTTAAGAAAAAGAAGAGACAAAGAAGCATACTAAAAGACCTGCTTGCTTATTCAGAAAGCGCCACGAGGGAAGACTAGCATGTGGTTACACCCTTACTGTGTTTGAAGTATGGGAGTCCTCTCGTCTGAAGGCTGTGCTGATGCCATAGAGCTCTGGAGGCCTGTGCAGAAAGCAATATGTGCAGTGAGTGGTGAGTTTTAAATGAACATTTTCTTCCCCTTTTAGGAAGACTGGGCTTTTTATTTCTTTCTTTGTGAGCCAAATCCAATATACAGATATAGCCTACTGTTGAAGATTTCAGATCTGCCTTTTTATGACCTTGACAAGCACAAACCTATTACTAATCCTGAAAATACTTTGTCATTTCCACTTGTTTTGAATCTTTTTTTTTTTTTTTTTTAAAGGTTTATTTATTGGTTTTATCTTCTAGAGGAAAATACATTGAAGGAAACAGTCGGAGCACTAACAACGTTTGTGTACGGTATGTGTTTTAATCTGGTAACTTGGTCAGGTCATTGTCTTAGGCCATGGTAACGGTGTTGTAAAAGAGCAACTGTATGTATAGCTTCAGTGTGAATGCTTTTAGATAAACGTTTGAAGACAGAAGAATGTTGAAAAACCCTTGTAGAAGTCACTGGTGACGCTTCACGTTACGCCAGCTGTCTGTATTCACGGTGATCAGAAGAGGCTTCAAATGACACAGAGCTGGAGTGTTCAGTAGTGTAGAGACACTGTTAGACTTCTAGTTCCCTGCTTGTGTTAACACTAAAACTAAAACAAAACAAAAAAAAACAGGATATATTCGGGGTGGGAGGGAAGAGAGCGACAAATGAACTTTTTGCTTTTGATTCACTCTTGTCTCTTAACTGCCCCAGTAAGCACTAACAGGCAGTTGTAACCTTTGCTTTTACGTGTAAAGGGATCTTGCCTTTTTTTTTTTCTTTACTTTTGTTTCTTAAGTGAATGTGAGTCTTTGACGTGTGCCACCTTCAAGAGAGAAAAAAAAAAAGAAGCCATTTAATGAGTTAAACCCACAGCTTTGAGAATTAACCTATGTGTACATATCTATTCGCTGGCATATATTGTAAGTTTAAAAAAAAAAAAAATCACTCAGGGCCTCTCGGTATATAAAAATAAAGGAGAACAGTCCATTTCGAATGGAAAGGATGCCATGAAAAGGGTATATCTGAATTTAGTTTGGTCGTTTTCCTCAGACCATAAATAATTTAATGTAATCAATTATAATATTCTGTTTTGTCTGAAATAGTAGATATTACATCATTTAAAGACAGGCATGCGAGAAAAAAAGATCAGTAAATATGTTAATAATATTCACTGAAAAGAGGCAATGTACACTGCAACTCATTACAAGTGTATTATTCAAAACCTGTTTGACTTTTGTTCTTGTACTCGAACCATATGTTCAGACATAGCGGTTGTGATCCCATTTCTGATTGTGCCACGGCGCACACTATCCTACCTAATTCACTCCCAAATCGACTTCAGAGGTGTTTTGCATGACTTAAAAAAAAACAAACAAAAAAAAAAGAAGTAAAACAAGTGTGTTATAGTGGAGGGTATCTCAAAATCCGGTGGGGACCTATTTAATGGTGCACAATATGCATGCTTGTCAACCAGATCCCAACTGATTTTTAGCTCTAGTTGGCTTTGGGTTCTGGGGGTTTGGATCTTAACGCTCAGCTGATAACTGCCATGCATTGTACTGCACACATTTGTAATAGAACTGAATGACTACAAGATTTTATTGCGCTAACTTCATTTTATAGAAAAAAAAAGGAAAAAAAACTGGTCTTGAATCCAGAAATTCTTACATACATTGTGTTACTGTTATTGCCCTAACGACTGAAAATTACATGCTCTGAAACTACTGTAGTTTATCAAAAGCCATAGTGAAAAGGTGCTAGATGTTCTGCTTTTAGGTATGAAAACTCACTTGCGTGAATGCAATAGTTTGTCATGGATCCCATGTATTCTTAAAGCATGTTATACTGATACCCCCTAAACAATGTCAGTGAAAATCAACATAGTTTAAGGGATTTAAAAAAAAGGAAAAAAAAAAAAAAAAAAGAAAAAAAGTGTTGTCATACTTATTTCAGTGTAGTACTGTACCTGCCTATCAGGCTCTTGCTCTCAGTGTATCAATATCTTAAAATGTATTGTTCACATATAGATACCTTAATTCATGTTAATGTTAGCACTATTCTTTTTGAAGTAAATATTTAATTGACAATATCCAGCTACCCTCTGAAATAAAAAGAGAACCTCCCATTAAGGCCTAGGTAATGAGGTAATTTTTAACGACAACTGAGAATAGAGTCTTGTAGTCTTTCTGTTAAGAGTTATTGAATAATCTCACAGCTTGTGTGGTGCAAAAATGTGTTCCAATAAGCAGCTAAAAATTTATTTAGGATTTGTGATTGATTGCTCCGTAGATGCCATTTATTGTTTACCAATGATTTTAATTTTTTAATTTTTTTTTTTGCTGTGGTGGGATAGTGGTTTACTGTTCTTACTCTCCTTGGCCTCTAGGGGTCCTTGCCTGAACACCAGACTACCCACCCACCAACAGAGCCAGGGGCATGTGTTCTGTGTTAGGCAGATATTTTGCTTTGGTACTTGCACATTTACAGTTACCTCATTTTTTCCATGTTTGTATTGGGGTGGGGTGGGCGGGGGAGAAAACAACTAATATATATTATATATAGGAAATGGTTCTTATTAATGTTATAATTTTTCATTCCATTGGAATCATATTGTTTGTAGCATTTAACATAACTAGTTAGTGTATTATATAAACATCTGTATACTGTTTGAAATTTTTAAGATTTGTACTTTTTTTAAATGAAAGTTGCTAGTTATGCTTTACCAAGTAGTGCAATCATATTTTTTTTTAATTGTTGTGGCTGATTTGAGAGGGTTGTTCACTAATAAATGTATGATGTATACCAATATCACACTTGTCTCATATGGCTCGGTTAAAATGCAGTAAAGGAAGAGAGCTGTTGTTCCAGCTCTCGAAAAGAAAAACCCCAAAATATCCCACTCATCATCAAAATTACTTCTAGCACAGAATGTTAAAAAAGCAGCTTATCCAGCGCATCTCGTTACCACATGCAGGCGTCGTACGTGCTCAATAAACCCACGTTTTTAAAATGTTTTTAATTTATAGTTGGAAAATTACATCTTTACATGAGCCCATTTAGATGTTACAGGCAAAACAGGCATCTATGAGTAACCACAGGCACACTATGGGCAGACTCGTACTATACTAGAATAAGCCACATGTAAAAGCTGTGGCCTCTGTTAAATATTGTATTTTTGAACTTCATGAGCTTGAGGCAGTCTGCTTTACATAGTAACCAACCTGCATTTGGTCATTTTATGACACAGATGAGTCCAAAAAAAACAAAACAAAAAAAACAAAATAAGTAAGGTAAATTTGGAGATTTTTAAATATCTAACTTATGTACAGGTCATGGCTCATTTATAACAGGGTTCCCATATTTCCTTTATGTCCAAATCCACCAGCCTGTTCCCTGAAGTAGAACATTTGCTCTCCACGCCACACGGATTAACGACCACAGCGAATCAAACTTGGAACAGCTTCGTTGTGCTCGTCAATCGCTGTGGAGGAAACGTGTGAACTTGAGGCAAAAAGGGTGCTGAATTAGGACAAGTGGATCAAACATCAGTTCTGACAGAAGAAGAAAAAAAAATAGCCAAGGCATTCAACATCATTATAAAAATCCATCGTCCTCCATGCTGCATCCTGTGTATCAGTAGGTATTAATACAGCCTGTCTTCCTCAGTTGCCCAGACATGAATTAGATTGGGATATGGTTCTGGTTTTGCACAAAGCTATGCTACTGTTTCAGTACATTTCAGTAGATGATTAATCCGTTGCGGCAATAGTTACTGGTGAGGAAGGACAAGAATTAACTGGTAGATAGTACAGACGATGGAAAACAAACTTTGTCCACACAGATGTAAAGATGAGTTCGAGGAAGGACTTCAAGAAATATTTATTTGATAAAATTCAAGACTTTCCAGGCTATTGGGAACCCTGTAAACACAACCAAACAAGGACTGGATGCAGGGTGGTTAAATCTTTCCAGGTTAGGATTTTATCTCAATGATCCCTTATGCATAATGGCCATTTAACAAAATATGAAAAAGAAAAAACAAAAAGGGGGGGGGTTGGTGGGAGTCAGAGGACAGTGTGTTTCCACGTAGAAGAGGTATGTCATCTATTAATCGTCCGTAAGGTCCTGAACAAAAAGGACCTCGGAGCGGCTGAGTCCCGCCTCTTTCAGTGTGGGTGGGTTGGGATGCTCTTCAGTCGGAAGGCAGGGCAAGACTCGACGAGGGAAGTTTGTAACTATCTGAAACTTCTCTGGAGTTTCTTTCAACGAGAAAAGGAAGTCGTATATTACCTGTGAAAGGAAAACAGCCATGTGAAGGGGCAGAACTCAGAGGAGAAGTGATGTGCAGATACAGAGGAAACAGTGTTTACGAATAAAGTAAGATTTTAAATCAGTAACTATTTGACATAAAAACTGAAATCAGAGTTGTTAAACCTTGTGTCATCACTAACATTAGTTAGTATGATTTAGCACTTGCTTGGAACAAAAGCCTGACAGTTTGCTTCACAAATCATTGGTTTACTACAGACGGATTCACATAAATTTTAACTGACAAAATCAGAGATCATTGTTGAACCCACTGGAAATCAAGCAAATCCAACAGGGTCAACTGTCTTACTCACCGTCAGAGACTGGCCAAACAGGAATCGTCTCTCTACTCGCGTGTCATTGGGCAGTTTAAACGAAATTTTGACACTTTCTGGATCATCTGCAGGTGGCTCGGGAGGAAGACATTCTGACTTCCTCTCCTTCTCCTCTTCGAGTGTCTGGAGTGACAACAAAAAGTAACAACATCAGTGAGGAACTGAAAGAATTAGAGGTTAATTAGTTGAGGTCTCAGTGTGTGGATCAGTATGTAACGGCACGCGTGAGCAGGACTCACTCGTCGTCTCCGCTCCTCGGCAAGAGCGCTCTGTCGGACCTTCTCCTCCTCTTGCCTCCGTTGCTCCTGCTCCTCCCTTTTCTTTCGGTCCTTCTCCTGGTCGGCGCGGAGGGAGGCGAGGTAGGCCTCATCCTGCTGCTGCCTTAGCACTTGGGTCTGGTTCCTCTCCTCGCTAAAACAAAAATGCAATCACACTAATAACCTTGTCTGTACACAAGCAGAGCAGAGTGTAACATTAAAGAGAGGATGATTTACTGTCACTTTTGAGACACGTATGTGTACCTGTGGTACCGCTGGTCTTAACAATCTTTTAGACAACTACCTGACTCTGACTGACTTGTATTTTGTGGTAAATGGGAAAAACTTGTTTTGTTTGCTGTGGGTTTGGTAACAAGAACTTGGAAGAAAAACTTAACTGAACGTGACATTTCAGTAAGAAAACTTTGTCACCATGTGATTGTGAGATTGGACATCTTTTTTTTTTTTGACATACATGTGTGACTAGTTTTGGGGTGGAGCTATACACAAATATACTCAGCCAGATGTAAATGATGCTACAGATTTGTCAAACTTTTTTTTTGTGCCATTCTTAAAATGCAAAGCCTTTGGGCCAAGCGGGAGTGTGGTGGGGCTAGTGGGAAAAATAATAATGCACAAGCAAACCAGGAAGCTAGAATTTTTTAGGGCATATACACCAGGCACCATCTTTGTGTCCACTATCCAGCTCTTATAATACATAGAAGACAGACACACATGCTGCAGAACCTCCTTCTAGCTCTGCTACGACATAGGTACCCACACAGGAAGACCCTCAAAGTGCCATTAATGTGCCTTTCTTAACTGTCAAAGCTCTGCCACAGTTCTGGACAAGAGGCCAGTCTGCCACAAGCTTCCCATGGCTGTTGGCTCTGACTGCCAGCTGTAGGTCACTGTCCAGGCTACACTGAGCTGTGGTCAATAAATCCGCCCTGTGTGTCCTCACCCTCTGCATCACACACTATGTAACCATGGCGCCACACCTCCTACAGCTGTTGCTCTCTCACTACTCTATTGAATTTTTTTTTGAATACACTGAGAGAAAGGCTCCCAGCAAAACTTTAAGGGTGTTGCCACCCTGTAAGACATGTTTTGAACTGTAACTATGAAAATAAAAGTAAAGGGACAGTTACGCTTAAATCAAAGCTTTAAAATTATCGCAACATGTGACTTAGTGTTAAATGTCATGTGGAGAGATATTCTCAAGTGAAGCGAGCTTCTGTGAATCAACTGATTCCCCTTACCGTTCAAGGCGCTCTGACATCAGATATGTTTGGTTGGCATCCATGATGAAAGTGAGCTGATTGATGAGGTCCTCTGGCTGAATGAGACCCTCGAGCCTGCCTACCACTGTCATCTTGCGGTCCTTCAGCATTATCATGGCCAGGAATGGGTAGGTGTTCTCTCGCAAAGCTTGGGACACTAAAACACACCAATAAAATTACACAAATAAATTATTCAGTCAAATCTCACTGTGTCGACTGTGCTGCTGCCTGTTGTTCATTTGCATGTAACAAATTAATGCCAAATAGCAATTTGATGTGTTCCAAGTTTTGACATTTTTTTTGCCAGCTCAAGGCTATAAAGCAAATATGTGCCATCAAAAGTGACATTTATAAAGCTCAGTGTGTCCCTTTTCAGAACAATCCTCCAGTTACTGAGGCATATACAACCAGCACTATTTGTATTGTATTTGCCACTAACTATCATCAGCAGTGAATCAAATGTATTGCTGGACCTGATGTGCAATAAAGATTTCCAATGAATTAATCTCCGCCTCATGTCTTTTTTATGACCCGACAATGACCACACAATAAAGACGATCTCATCTTTACATCATTCTTTTATCTTTTACAGGGTCAAAGATAAAGAGGACTACTATACTCCATTTTAAATCCTTCCAGCCTCTTTCATACAGGAAATGCACAAACACTTGTCTGTGTGCATGACACTTAACATACTTTTCATGATTAGAGCAACTGATGTCACACTAACAGCTGACTTGACAACAAGTTGTGGGAAAAATGATAAAAAGAGAAATGAAAGTTGCATACCTCTGTAGCCCTCAGGTTTGCTCGTTGAACATGCCCAAAAGAGCATTCGCGTGTTGAGGAAAGTTATGACCTCTTCCGTACATAACGTGGAGCTAGAGGGTGACAGATCAGAGCATAAAACAATAAGTTATGCTGCCGTTTTCATTTGCACATGGTCAAAAAGTTATATACAATTATTAAACTCAAGCTTATGTGCTATTAAAAGATGTAACAAAACCAAGCAGACTGCACCTCTACACTAGAAACTCTATGACATGGTGTGACATTCAGGTGATGTATTTTACCGGCAAAACTCATCCGTGTCTTGATGATCGTCCCCGTGAAGGTACACTAATAGGTAGCGCAGCTCCCGTTTGGCATCATTCAGCGCCTGCATGTTTCACAGTAAACAAACAAAAGGCGATTCGATTAACACTACTGCCATTTGCAACTCAGTGTGAACATCAGATCGTAAAATAATGCGCCTTTCTAATCTCTGCATCTATGAACTCACCTGGCTGTATGTTCCCTGGTAAAACACAGGGTGTGACCGGCCATATTTCTCCTCAAAACTATGAATGAAAGACACAACATCTCCAACAGGGTCTGTCACGCGACCACGGGGATCTGGCCTGATGAACCTCAGTGCAAACCTTGGAACAAAAAAACAATCATGGCGGTCAATGACCTTGCTCTGTCCAGCGACTACAAGTTTAAAATCAATGTGCTTTAATTACCTGACTATGTCCAGAAGTGTGTAATATGTAAATCTGAAAGGTAGCATTATCAAGTAGTAACTCCATCCTAGTAATCCCTGAAAAGAAGCACCAACACAGTCTATTACACAGCAGAAAACAGGT